CCCCAGACCACCACTTCGAGGAGCCAGGGTCGATGGTGAGGGGGCTGGGCGGGGCTCCCCAGGACTCTGCTGGGGTTAATTCCTTCCCCCCCAAACGGCGGGAGCGGCCTCCCAGAAAACCAGAGCTGCTACAGGAGGTGAGGGTGAGGGATGGGTCTGGGAATTGTGCTACATTGTTAAAAGGGGCTGTCTGGTTTTCACCACCTCTCCAGTCACTGTTCTCCACATCAACGGCATTCATCACTGTCTCCCTTTGTCTTTATTCCTTCTTCAGTATCTCACCATCTTAAGGTCTCCAATTCCCACGTTATGTTTTCCTTTCATCTTTCTCACCTGCAGGAATCCTTGCCGCCGCCTCATAGTTCTGGATTCTTAGGCCCCAAACCTGAGGGCCCAGGCCCTCAGGGGGAGTCCAGAGATGCTGGACCAGAAGCTCTTACTCCTCACATCTGGAATCGTTTACATACTGGTGAGTAGACCTGAGTAAAAGGAATGGCATCATGGGCTCTGTACCAAGGAGTTCAGAACTGACATTGACTTCCCATCCTGGTCGGTGTCCTCAGCCTCTAGCCGAAAGAGTTACCGGCCAGGATCTATGGAGCCCTGGATGGAACCCTTGAGTCCCTTTGAGGATGTGGCTGGCACAGAGGTGAGTGCGGATGGGAGAGGGGTTGTCTAGGCCAGGATTTCATCAAGCAGTGGTCATAGTTCCCTACCTGTTAGGGATTGAGTCTTGGGTTGTTCCCTCACGTAGTTGTCACTTCATGTACATCAGTCAGGTATTGGGGTACTTTCTACCCTGACTTAACTAAACTCCTTCTCCACTCCTCTCAGATGAGTCAGTCTGACAGTGGGGTGGACCTGAGTGGGGATTCTCAGGTGTCATCAGGTCCCTGCAGCCAACGAAGTTCCCCTGATGGAGGACTCAAGGGGGCAGCAGAGGGACCCCCCAAGCGGCCTGGAGGCCCCTCACCCCTGAATGCTGTTCCTGGTGAGGGTCCACCTGGCTCTGAACCCTCTGAACCTCCTAGGAGACGACCACCTGTCCCTCATGATGGGGACAGAAAGGTAAAAGGCCAAGAAAGGATAAGAGGTGTGTTTTGGGGACTCTGACTTTGGCCCTACCTGTCTCCTCCTTCCAAGCTTGTCTTTTTGGGGATTCCCTGATTGGTGTTTCCCGTCCCCCAAACCCACTTTATTGTGTTTTGTAAACAGGAGCTGCCCCGGGAGCAGCCTCTGCCCCCTGGTCCCATTGGCACAGAACGATTGCAGCGTACAGAGCGAGGCCCTGAGCCTGGCTCCCTCCGGCCACCCCATCGGCCTGGTCCACCAGTCCAGTTTGGCACCAGTGACAAGGTCTGTGTGGAGTGGGTATTCTGGGTAGGGGAAGGGAGAGGAAATACTGAAAGTGGGACATTAAGGACACTGAATCATGGGACAATCTTCTCTTCCTCACCATCATAGGACTCTGACTTGCGCCTAGTGGTAGGAGATGGTTTAAAAGCAGAGAAGGAGCTCACAGCATCAGTCACCGAGGTAAGTGGAAGAGCGGAAGTTTGGTGGTGAGAACTTGGGTGGGAATGATCTGGGCACCCCGGATGCCCCAATATCCCTCCTAACTCGGTCTCTGTTTGTTAGGCCATTCCCATACCCCGAGATTGGGAGCTGCTTCCCAGTGCTGCATCCTCAGCCGAGCCACAAGCCAAGAACCTGGGTTCTGTGCACTGTGGCCCGGAACTCAGCTCCTCAGGCCAGCGCTTGTACCCTGAGGTCTTTTACAGCAGCCCTGGGCCTCCCAGTTCTCAGGTAGGTCATGCACTTACTGTCCCATGACCCCTTAGGTGAATGAGTGGTAGACGTTCTTCTCTGTTTGTAGATCCTTAGAATCAGTTGTTTTCCAGTTGTGGCGAAAACATGTCTTTTTTTCTCCCCCCTCACTGTTGGTACATGGTGGGTAGGGTGGGATTTTCTTTGTAGAAAAATTAGCTGGGGTCTCCCTGGTGCTATGGGGGTTAAAGTATCATCGCTATCAAGCTCTTGCCAGTCACTGTGGGGCAGGTTCAATCCCCGGCCAGGGAGCTAACACACATGATATCGCAGTCCTCTCCTGATTCACTTGCTGCTGCCCTCAGATCCACCTTTTCTGCTCCCTGCTCTCTGGTGAATCCGCTCACCCACCTCTGGCCTACACCCCATTTCTTGTATGCATAAGTAACTAAAAAAACTGGAGCTGTGCCAACCTTGCCTCTTGCAGGTCTCAGGAGCATCCATAGACTCTCAGTTACATCCCAACAGTGGAGGCTTCCGTCCTGGGACACCCTCGCTGCACCCTTACCGGTAAGACCATGCCTGTGGTTCTCAGAAGATGGAGCAGCATTGTTGCAGGGGAGAGGCTAGGGGAAGGCCTATGTGTAGGGCACTGAAGGCTAGTGGGCTTGGAGCCTCTCTCAGGCGAGGAGAGTAAGTGACATTGGCTTCCTGATCCCTCTCCTCCCCCCAATTTCTTTTCAGATCACAGCCCCTGTACCTCCCCCCGGGGCCAGCTCCCCCCTCTGCTCTGCTCTCTGGTGTAGCTGTCAAGGGCCAGTTTCTGGATTTCTCCGCACTGCAAGCAACAGAACTGGGGAAGTTGCCGGCTGGAGGAGTCCTCTACCCTCCACCTTCATTTCTCTATTCTCCGGCTTTCTGCCCCAGCCCTTTGCCTGACCCACCCTTGCTTCAGGTAAGAGGTGGGCGAGTACCGGACTTCAGGAGCTAGAGTGGGGAAAAATGCTTTTGGGGTAATAGACATAAATTCTGCTCATCAACAGGTGCGCCAAGATCTGCCATCCCCCTCCGATTTTTACTCTACTCCTCTGCAACCTGGTGGCCAGAGTGGCTTCCTCCCCTCGGGGGCTCCTGCCCAGCAGGTACCTTGCTCGCCTCTGCCCTTCTCCTTTGTTCTAGTGCTCTGTCCAGTGTCTGAGGACTTTTTCTTTGGTATGTTTTGATTCCATCTCTGGCTTTCTGACATTGTTTCCAAACTCAGCGCCTGTATTTGTTACAGATGCTTCTCCCTGTGGTGGATTCACAGCTGCCTGTGGTGAATTTTGGCTCCCTGCCGCCAGCACCGCCTCCTGCCCCACCCCCTCTTTCTCTGTTACCTGTGGGCCCTGCTCTGCAGCCCCCCAGCCTAGCTGTGCGGCCCCCACCAGCTCCTGCTACTCGGGTGTTGCCTTCACCTGCCAGGCCCTTTCCTCCTAGCTTGGGGCGAGCAGAGGTAAGTTACAGGAACTGAAATGGTAGGGAAACCTCCCCAGAGTTGGGGCTAGGGATTCAGTATCATGGAAGAGGACTTAAAGACAGAAGGCTCATGAATTTTTCTTTTTTTTCCCTACAGTTGCACCCAGTGGAATTAAAGCCGTTCCAGGATTACCGAAAACTGAGCAGCAACCTTGGGGGACCTGGGTCATCACGTACTCCCCCATCTGGAAGGCAAGAAGGAAATAGGGGTGCAGAGTTCCCATTGCTGTGGACTTATCTGGGAGACCCAGGGAACAGGTTCCCCCCCCCCCCCCCCTTAAAGCACCTTTCTTCCTTTAGGTCTTTCTCTGGCCTCAATTCCCGTCTCAAGGCCCCACCTTCCACCTATAGCGGAGTCTTCCGCACCCAGCGCATCGACCTCTACCAGCAGGTGAAGGAGAAACCCCTGTGGCCCCAAGTCTGAGTCTGACAGTAAACCACCAAAGTTCTTGTCCTTCATTCCTGACCTCCCAGTATGACGTACTCTTCCACATGTACCTGTCCACCAGGCCTCTCCACCAGATGCTCTGCGCTGGATGCCGAAGCCTTGGGAGCGGACAGGGCAACCTTCTCGAGAAGGATCTTCCCGGCGGGCAGAGGAGCCTGGGTCCCGAGGGGACAAGGAGCCTGGGTTGCCCCCACCCCGCTGAGGGAGTTCCTTTTGACCCCCCACCCCCCGGGGCTTGTATATAGATTATAAATATATAAGGGGGGAAAGGGGTGGGTGGGGATGGGTGGTGGGGCTGGGGCCTCGCTTCCCCTCCTCCCCCTTCCCCTGATCCCCTATCCCTGGGGCTGTTTGTTAAAAAATAATAATAAAAGGATGAAAAAAATATTTCCAAAATGACTTGGGGAATGGGTTAGTGGTTTCCAACTTCCAGTATCATAATGGTACATAACTGCAAAGAGTGATCTTATAAAAGCCTCATTTTACCTTAAGATTTTTATGGGCCAGGAATTGGAGCAGGACTCCCCTGAGCAAATCTTGTGCTAGTTGTAGGGTTGGTTTGTATTCTACAGCTAATAGCTGGGCTGCTGCCATAAGGTTTCTCTCAAATATATGGGACTTCAGAACTCCATTGGCGTCTGTCAAACACCTTGACATGGCAAGACATTCTCAAGTCACTGGACTTTGTCCTGGATCCAGTGTCCCAAGAAATTGCGGTGAAGCTTAAGACCCTCAGTCTTATGCCACAATCTGTCGGTCCAGAGGGAAGGCACAACTGGGTATCTCAAGGAACGAACGGCAAAGAATTTGCAGTTGTGTAGGTCTTCGGTCCCATTGACAAAGGAAGTGCACTTAAAACTTGGGCTCAGGTGTTGGTGTGTGGGGGGGAGCTCCTTGAGCGATGACCAGTTCCACTGTTGTCAAACTTGGTTGAGTTGCATGTGGTACCACTGCCTCATGCCAGTCAGCTGAGACTATATTTAGGTTTGCAGCTGCTGCTGAAATCCAAATGGCTCTTTAAGAGGCTTGAGAGCCTTAGATTCTAACATGTACGGGAATAGTTCTCTCCATCTCAATTCAGATCACTCTTGCAAATTGCTTTTGCATAGAGGTGTTCCTTGAAAATGACCAACTCAAAATGGGATTTTACATTCTACCATGTGGCTGCACATCTGCTCAAGGCAGTGTTAGAAGCTGTCTGGGGAAGGGTGCCTTAAAGTTTGTAAAGGATCTGTGGGTTAGATAGTGAAGACAATGTTGAGACAATAGAGCCAGGAAAATCTGACTTTTATTTCTTAAATACTGTGAAGGAAGGGGGGAGAAATGGTCCCCTGGTGAGGGAGGGCCACAGACAAAGAGCTAGGGGTCATCAGCAAAGGCCCGGTGGGCATTAGGGAAGCGCTGGGGGCTGTAGTTGGGGTCTTCCTGCAGACGCTTTTGTATGTCAGCCCGGAGCTAGAGAGAGAGAGCAAGGAGGTTGGCCGGGCACTGGTCAAGTCTGGAGGATCCCAGCAAGCACGCAAAGCCATCCCTCAGGAGCTAACACTTCCCCACCAGCCACTGTCAATAGCCCCAAGTGGCATTACTGAGCCTTCCCAGATGCCACTGAGGAAAAACCAGGCTGACCAGTTCACCTCTGAAGGAACTGGGGAAGAGGAACCCTAGCCCAACCCCTCCCACTAGACCATCCCTATTCTGCTTCAAGGTGGGGGCACCTGCTGCCTGTAGCTCTCCTGAACCTCTGGTGCCTCCAGGTCCCGGCTCAGGCTCTCGGGGCTCGTCAGGGGCCTAGCTCCGGCTGCCTTAGCTGCCCGGCTCACAGCCTCTGAGAGAAGCAGCTGGGGGCCCTCACCCTGCATCGTCTGGCGAACAGGGGTTTGGGGAGGGAAAAGAGGATCAAGGTCAGATCCAGTGCCACCACCCAGCTCACCTTTTCCATTAAGTAAACCACTGAGTCTCCGGGCTAGTGGAGAGAACGGAAATAGCCCACATGTGGTTTTGACAACAGAAATGCCTTCCTAATTCTGTTTGGCTCTGGCCAACCACTGGGTTGAATTTCCTCTTCAAAATAACAGGGGCAGTGTGGCTCTAGCCACCTGGGATTCAGAACTAGCTAGTCGGCAAGACGAAGCCCACTGTGAGGAAAATGGGTGCTAATCACAGGGGAATCGGGCGGCTGATGACAGGGCTGCTGGCAAACAGACTAACACAAAGTTGTGGTTGTGCAACTGGACACCTCAGTAAGTCCCAGGAAACTTTCCATTAAATGAGGGGACTAAAGAAGGGAGGACTTCTTCCAGCTCTAATGTGATTCTAAGCATGACAGGGGACTTTGAAAAAAGGGATCCTGTGGGAATAGGCATACTAACCTTGCGTCTCTTGGCAGGCATACCACTGAGGTAAGCGTCACTCAGGGGGGGCTGTGGCTTCACCTTTCGCTGGCTCTGAATGTCCTGCTGGATGATAGGAACCCACTCCTGGGGAGCAAAAGACGGATGGAAAGTAATAATCCCCACAACTTTCAGCTGCCCTAATCACGCGATCATCACCTGACACTTACTGGGGGTACTGCAGCTGCCCAGGGTTCTGTCTCAGCTGAGGCTCCATCCTGTTCCTCTCGGGAGCCCCCCTCAGGAGCAGGTGGTGGGCCTCGGGACATGGCCTCTTCTGCTGTTGTTCCAGGGGCTGGGGAAGCATTCTCCCGCTGGGAGCAGGCAACAGGAAGATCAGAAAAGTCAGAATCCTCAGCCCTCAGCCCCCAGCCCTACTGGCCCCACCCCAAAATTCCACTCTGACCCCTCCACCTCTAGCTGGTACCTGAGGTTCAGGGGAAGTTCTCTCTGATCCCTGAACTTCCATTGGCTCCTCAGGAACTGGCTGTGGAATTGGAGAACACCACAAAAGACAGGCTCAGATCTGTCTTTCCAGTTCCTGCAGGCCCCCTGGCCCTACAGCTCATCAGCTCCCTTACCTGAGGGGGATCACCAACCCTGCGAACATATCTGAGGATGGCATCGGGGCCCACAGGCATGTGATCCAGTACCACCTGAAGCCTCAGTCCCATTATAGTGGTCAGCCAGCTCACCAAGGATGGATTCACCCCACGAGACATGCGACGCTGAGGAACAAAAAGTAGACTTAAAACAATACCCTCAAAGAGTGTTTGAAAAGAATCAAATGGTAAAGGATGGTGATTTGGAGAAAAAAGGAAAACAGCAGAATACACAGAAAACTGGAAGCTGAGAAAAAAGGCTAAGAATCGGGGGCAAGGTGGTGCTTACAATTCGGCCATTGATGACAGCAGCCAGCTCCATCTGCTGCCCCCCCAAGCAGTGCAGGTTCAGTGCCAGGCATTCAAACAGGCCCTGGTTACACAACTCCAACAAACGGGCCCCAAATCCACTGTCTATGGGAACAAGACATAAATAAGAAGGGAGTGCTGGCACCCAGCATTCCTGCATACAGGACAGGCCCCCTCCCGCACCCCCCAGCACCAGCTCCTACCTGTGCAGTGAAGCACATGAGCAGCAATGCTATTGAACTGCTCTTGGAGAAATTCCAGGTTTGTTCGAATAATGTCCACCCCAGGCTGAACCTGTACCAAAGACTGAGAGACAAGACACACAAAGACCCCAAAATCAGGAACCCCAAGGGAATGGGAGTCAAGGAGGAAGCAGCGAAACAGCAGCTCTCCTGACCCAAGGCAGAAAGGAAATGGGGGAGGGTTACTCACAAAACTCTCCCGCACGTATTCTTCTAGCCCCGTGATCAGTGTGTGGGTTGCCGTCTACAGGGGAAGCAGCACAGGTTTAGATCCAAGCCCTGGCCTCCAAAACACCTGCCCCTCTACCCCCAACAAGTCCAGGGCTTGGGCTAGGGCAGTTGGAGCTTTAGGTGACAGGCAGTCAGGAGTAAGGAATGGATGGTGAGGAGAGCTCTGGGGCCTGGGGTCTTCATTTACCCGGATGTTACCAGGTGTGGGTTCCTGGCCACCCAGGTAGTGCTGGTGGAAGAAAGATCGCAGCTGGGGCTGGAGCCGCTGCAGTGGCTGGAAATGCCCATGGAGAAGCATCACCACATCCACCATGGAAAAGTTCTGACACAGAAGAGAGAGCAGCGCCCCAAAGAAACCTGGGGACAGGAACACAAGTTAGCAGTGGCATGCCCACCTGCCTCCAGCCCCATCAACCCAGGCTCCCTTGGCAACACCCCTAACAAAGGCCATCTACCTTCCCCTGGTTGCCCACTGCTGGAGAATATGGTACCCCCCCTGCCTTGCAATTGCTCACCGAGGGCCCCATCAGCCCCAGGCTCAAAGATGTTGCTGGATCCACTGAGGCGCTGTATGAAGGCAGCAATACTCTCACTGCTGCCAGCCCGAGCCCCGAGGGAGCCCAGCAGGGAGCTCAGCACGCCCTGCACCACTGAGGTATAAAACTCCAGTGGCAGGCTCTCAGGACCCAGGCCTCCAGGACTCCCTGCACCGCCAGAGGGGGATCCTGGGGTAGGCATGGTCTGTTGCTCTGGAGCAGGGGGTGGGGGCGGAGGAGCCGTTTGTGTCTGTGTCGCCTGGCAAACAGAAGGAATAAAAACAATGAGGTGAGTGTGGCTACAGAGTGCACACACACCAACAGAGTCTAGAAGACAGGGAGCGCTAGGCAGGTCACTCCTCAAGCAGACCCAGTTGGACAGTTACTCAACAGCAGAGTGAGGCTGCTCTCCCTCTGAATGGGTGAGGTCAAGAACAGCGACACTGTGCTCGCTCGCTCGCTCACTCTGAGCCTTGGTTTCCTCACCTCTAAAATGGTGGGTTCACACTCAATGAAATCCCAGGAGTCTTTCCCACAGACATGCCACCAGTGACAACATAATGGCCACCAGACACCCATGCCCAACTGGGCAGGAGAGAGAAAGGGGAGGTGAAATAAGCCACTCACCTGCAAGAAGTCAGTCATGCCCTGGAGAAAGGCCGGGACACCAGGCATCGCCACAGTGATGGTGGGAGAAGCCATGCCAGGCCCACCAGCCCCTGGCCCTGCAGGCCCCAGCAGGTTCCCCAGGAGCTGAGAGAACTGAAGATCAGCGGAGGGTTGCGGGGGTGGAGGCTGGGCAGGTCCCCCAGGGGCAGGGCCCGCTGTGGTAGCTGTGTTGGTGGTGCCAGCACTTGCTGAAGCAGTGGCAGGGGCTGGAGGCGGAACCATTCCTGGAGTCCCCTGAGCTGTAGGGACCAAGCGAAAAGTTGAAATCTGAAGATAAAACAGACATCACGGCATCTCCACTCCGTCTCTCCAACAAGAAAGCAGATACAAAGTAAACATGGGCATTACTGGGAAGCACTAGGGAGAAAACTAGGGCGGGAGTACAGGCCTTCCTGGCCATGAGACTCTCTCACGTTTCAGTGGAGAAAGAACAAAGACTCACCCACAAGGACAGGCTGCATAAGCAGCTGCCCCACAAGGCCGCTCACCATCTGGGCCAAAGAGGCGTTGGTACCTATCCCAGCACCCTGCTGGGAAGAAGAGAAAGGGTGGCTTTCACTTCTATTTAATTCTATTCCTCTCTCCCCAGCTTCTTCCCTGCTGTAACTACCCCAACCTTACTCACCAGTGTCCCCGAGACCGGGGGGCCCCCAGGATGGGAAGGCCGAGCCTGTGGAGGGGTGGGTCGGGCAATGACCACCCGGGTTGGAGCGGTTGGGAAGCCTGGCACCTGCTGTCCTGTGGGTGGCAGAGGGAGAGACCAAGGAGGGCTGAGGGCTGGGCCCCTGCCTGCCAGCCAGCAGCACCCACCGTGATGGACCATAGCCCACCTCCCAGGCCTCCCCTTCCAGGTCATTACCTGCGGCCGCGGAGGCAACAGCTGCCACCATGGCCTGATGAGTGATCTGGTGGGCGACGGCGTGCATGAACTCAGGGGGCAGGGAGGGCAGCTGGATGAGGGTGGAGCCTGGGGGGCGGGTCTGATGTAACCTTGAACCTGGACCCCCTTCAACCCACCCACTCGGCCCTACCCCTTTCTCTACCCAGAGTCAGCCTGCTCTGATGCCCTCACTCTTACCCAGGGTCTGGCCATGACCAGGGGGTCCTAGGGGGCCAGTGGGAGCACTCGGAACTCCACCGGGCTGTGTGCCAGAATCTGGGCAGGGAGACAGAGAGAGTGGCCCTGAGACAGGTGGGGCCAAGGCCTAACTGCATCCTTTTGAGATCGGCGTCCTTCAGGCTCCTCCCCTGCCCCACCAGAAAGCGTGCCTTTCCCTCCACTCAAACAGGGAGAAGACGCTCCCTTTGCAACACGAACAAAGCTCCAAGGACAGATCAGTCCTTTCTGCTCTGCCCCACATACGCCGACTCAAACTTCAGCGCTGGTCCCTCTGCGGCCTCCCTTCCCCACCCTCCCACACCAGCGGCGCGGCACTGACTCCCCCCCCTCCATTGCACTGTTCATCTCTGCCACTGGTTGATCCCCACTCACCTTGGATGTTCATGTGCATCATGACTACAGGTTCCACACTCTGGTGGGAAATCCGGATGACCCGCGGGTGGCTGGCGGTCGGGGGCGGAGCTGGCCCCGGTGGAGGAGCCCCCTCAGTTGAAGACTCAACAGTGGTAGAAGAGGGAGCCAAGGATGAGGCCTGCCCAGGACCAGAGGGAGAGGCCTCTGCACTGGGAGTCGGGGGGGCCCGAGTCCCATTCCCTGTCATGGTCACAGTGGTCCCCACATTGATCTGAGGAGACAGACATGAGGCAGAGGTGAGAAAAACACAAGGTGCCCAACCACCACCTTTAAGCCCGGCAGCTACCTGGGGTCATTCCACCAACAGCCCTCCGCTGCCCTCTGCCCGGGCCCCCCTTCACCCACCTGGATGGGAATGGCTGCCTGCTGGAGCACCATGGGGGTGGTGTAGTGAGACATGGGCCGGACCACATGCAGGTGTCGTGGGGGCGCACAGGCCAGATTGCAGCGCAGGTCAGACAGTGCCACAAAGGTGTTGCCCAGCAGCCGCAGGCTCTCCCCCACCAAGTTGATCAAGCGCTGATCCTCTTCACGGCTCTCTTGCTATATCCCCAAGCCAAATACAGAAAGGCAAAAACATGAGGCCAGAGGCCACCCTGCCAGCAAAGACACTGCCCTCTGAGAACACGGTGTCCTCCATAGCATTAGGTATGTGCTGGAAAGTTCCTGCATGGGCCAAATATCTTTGTTGCCAGTTTTATTTTATAAAAGTAAAGAATTTCCTATTAAACTCTGTAGAGAATCTGAAAGCCAACACCCACTAAAGTCCTTTATGTTATATTCCTAAATCAGGGGATTGAGGAGCCCAAACACAGTGGAACTTACAAAGACTATCACCTTCCCTATAGGGGAAAGAAAGACGACTTAGATGTCTAGAGGATAATTTTGCTGGAGACAATGAATATCAGGGTGGGGACAAGAAAAGGGTTATCTATATTTCAACCTATTCCAATGTCTTCTGGGGGGTGAGAGGGGTGGGGCAGGGCTCACATTGTTGTTGTAATCCGTGGTAGCAGCAGCACCTAGAACCTCATAATAGCGCTGTAGGAAGGGCTGGAGGCGGCTCTCAAGCCGCTGCAGCTCCTGGAGCACCTCCACATACTCTGCAGGCGAAGGATGGCTGTGGAAACCCCAAGAGACAGTGAGTCAAGGGTTTCCTCAAATTTCCTCTCAGCTGACAGGGATATCTGCCCTGCCTCTCCCTGGCTGCCCAAACCTGTGGCCCATTTCCTTCCTGGGTTAGCAGAGCTTCTGTTTGTTTCCTCACTCACAAGATCAGAAGAGAAAAACAACTGCTTCCACCTCCCCCACCAAACAATCTAGTAACTACAATGACAAGAAAAGTCTGAAGAGTTAAGAGTCTACACAGGGCACTACCTGGGGGTGCAGGTTAAAACACAGCTCTATGCAGCAAGCCACTGCAACATGAGTTCATTTCCCAGTCAGGGAGGTAACGCACATGGCGTGGCAGACCTCCCTGACCTACCCGCTGCTCCCCTCAGCAGTGTGTTTCAGTCAGTCTGTCTCTGCAGTCAGTCTGTCTCTGACCCCCTGCACCTCTGGCCTGTATCCCAGTTCTTGTATGCATGCATGCATACATAAATATGTAAATAAATAAATATCTGTCAACTCAAAAGAGAGGATCTTGACCACGCTAAGGAAGAACCATTCAGATTTCCCTGTGCCAGAGAAAAGTGCTTCTGGATCAGCTACCAGTCCTGGCCCTCATTTCCCTACTCGGAGGCTCTGCCTGCCCCTCAACACTCACCCGACAAGACCATGAAGCAATCCTTCCTCCCCAGTGTTTCTTTCCTGGCCCTCACTCTTCACTGAAGAGTCCCAAGCCCCTTCCCACAAGTACCCTCCACCTCTCACTTGGGCGCATTGGTCTCTGGTCCAGGTGCTGGGCCCACAGGGGCTGGGCCAGAAGGTGTGAGCTCCGGGCTCTGGGCTGGGGCACGCTCCTCCACTTCTTCTGCCTCCATGGGCTCCCGAAGAGGCGCTTCACTTTCAACTGGTTCTGATGTTCGAGCGCTCAAGGCTACTGGCTCTGGGGCCACAGTTGGCGTCTGTGAGGGTGGTTGACTCTGCTGTGCCTGGGTCCCTCCTCGACACTGAAGGTGGGGGGGGAATCAGGACACGGAAGACAAGAGGCAGAAGATTATGCAGGTTAAAGGCAAGTAAATGAAGAAAGCTGTCCTAACTAGGTTCCCTGAACGCAAGGACTTACACCTTTGACTCTCAACAGAAGATTAACGCTAGTTACGTGTGCAAATAAAATCTGTAATACTTGTGAACAAGCTACTAACAGAGAGCAGGGATTAGTTTCCTAGTTTCCACAGGAAAAGAGGAAAAGGCCACAGATTGCAGCTATAACACCGACTACTAAGTTAAAAATCTTAGTATCAATTGTGACAAGAAGTTAAAAAAACAAAGAATTCTCTGACTTAAAAGACATGCAATGCTTTATATGACTAGTCTGAAACAAATTTCCCAGATACTAAGAACCAAGAGCACTGGCAAGGACAAGATAACCTCACAAAGATACTTTTTTTGCTCTAAAGACTAAAGATTAGCGAAAAAGAGACCAGATTAGGAAGGCAGAATCTAGGGGATGTGTCCAGTCATGCCCTCACCCCCAAGCTAAAAGAACAGGGGCAGCGAGAATGGGGAGAAAAACAAAGACAGGCCCTTGCCCACTCACCTCCATCCGGGACAGCAAGGTCTGTATATCCCTGATCATGTGCTGAGCCATCACCAGACGTACTCGAGGCTCACTCTAAAATAAGAGAGGGACGATCAGGGTGATTTAAGATGAAACCACGAGCCCATTATCTACTAAACCAGTCATCTCCTCAGTCAAGTCCACCCCCACCTCATGGCCTCCTTCTCCCAGATCCCCTTCCCTGACCCTCCCAGGCCCCGTGATACCTGAATCGGGGCCTGTTCCATGTTGATGTGAACATCCACAGCAGAGCCGTCACTCTGGGGAAAGGGTAAGGGAAGTTGCTCTGGGAGAAGTCAAATACTAAGGCCCCCACACTTCCAACTATTGTCTAGAGCCCCAGCCCTTTTCTCCTCAAAGATGAGGCCATTATCAGACCACATGGCCCTCCAAACCCATCTAAAGACTAAGACACCTATCTGATGAGCTCTCTCAACCAAACCTAGCATTCCCCAGAAAAATTCTCCCATGACATGGAACATAAGCTTACAGGAAGATTGAAGGTTCCAACCATCACATAGCTGTTGGCATTCCGGTCATGAACAGAGGGCCCAGGTCCCCGAGTACCAGGCGTAGGTCCCCCACCGTGAGTGGCCGAGGCAGACCCCGTCCCAGAAGATGCCCCAGAAGGGAGCTGAGTCTGAGGAGGAGCCCGTTCCACCAGGTGGATGACCTTTCCCCCAACATCTGCAAGAAAAAGAAGATACATGCCAAAACATTTTATCTGGTAAAGCCATAGCCTCAGTGCATCCCTCTGGAGTACAGCCTCAACCTCTGAACTGCCTCCCACACTCCCTTACTGTATTCCTGGAGCTTCTTATCATCTTGCAGAACTCGTCCCTGGTAGATGAGCCGTTGTTTCTCAGAGGGAATGCTGACAGAGGCAGCAATGTGCTCCTTAAACTCCTTTACGTTCATCTGCAAAGAAAGAAATTCACAGAACTGGTCAACACCTCAAATTTATATAATGTCATAATGCAATGGCATTTCAATTAAAAAGAAAAAAAAAACAATACACATCAAGAAATGGAAAAAAAGAGGATAACAGAAAAGAGGCAAATGGCTTGCCAGGGTGAGGGGTAAAAGCCATACCGTCATAAAATCAATACCCATCTATCTTGGTTGTGAGGTAATTATCATGCAAAACCCTGAACTAAAATAATACCTGCCAAAATACAGACAATGAACAATGAAGTTCAATCTATCACCTGGAAAAATAAAACAAACCTACCAATATTCCCTCTTTCTTCTCTGCTTGCTCCCAAGGAAATGTGCCTAAAGGTAACAATGCACCTCCCCAAACTCAAAATGACCCAACTCTATAATCTCAAAACCAAAAGTGGTGACGAAGAAGATTGGATGAAAATTTTATGAAAAAAAGACTCAACCTGGCCCTCCCTGGTGGCGCAGTGGGTTAAAGCACAGCACTGAGAATCTAAAGCCACTTCCGCATGGGTTCGATTCCCGCCTGCCCCGGAGGTGACCACATGGCGTGGCTGACCTCTCCTGACCCGCCCGCTGCTCCCCTCAGCAGTGTGCTTCATTGATCTGCCTGTTCTACTCCCCACTCTGACTCTGGCAAAGCCTCTCACCGCCCCTGAGCCTCTGGCCTGTACCCCAATTCTGTATGCACAAATAAATCTTAAAAAAAAAAGACTCAACCAAGAAAAGAGTAAAAACCATTGCTCTTAAAGAGAACTATTTACATACATCTGGTCACGAAAGGCCAACTAGTTTTTAAAACACATGTTTTAAAGACTGAGGGCCAACCTCCTCAGGATGACATCAATAGCTGTGTCTATGGCATTAAGCTCAAAAAAAAAAAAAATCAAATTATGCCACAAATAATAATTCCATTCAATTATTTGCTAGGATTCTACCTAAACTACGGGGCTTTGATTTCTAATCAGGAAAATGTGGCACAGATCTGACCGATTCTTGTTTTTGAAACACACTTGCATTTGTGGTCAATGTGTTCTGTTTCCCTTTCCAAAGGCAGGAGTCAAGTCTGTCCTTGGGAAGAGGCTCACTCATAATGATGGCATACAGAATGGTCCTTCCTCCTGAGCTAGAGGAAGGCAAAACCTACCACACTCAAAAGGAACCATACTTTTCACTCAACAAGAAACACCAGAAAAAGGTCTCTAGAGAAAACTAACAATAAGAGGAAATTGCAACAAAAAAATAAAGATCTCTCAGCTAAAAAGGCTTACAAAAGGAAGGTTTCAGGGATGTCTTCCATTAAGTACTGGAGTCTCACCTGGGCTCCCACAATAAAGGTCCGAGTCTGAGAATCCAGGGTCTTCACCAACACTTCCAAGCTGTCAGGTTCTTCCATAGTGGTACTGGTACTATCACTGGGCTCCATGGTTGACGGCTCTCTAAGGAAGAATGGAGGGAGGCCCGCTGTTGCCCAAAGTAGATACTATACACCCGGAAGCCTCCCGGCCTCAGTCTCCGCCCCAATACCTAAAGAGCTGCTCCTACTCATGCACACACACTCATGCCCGCCCCCATCCCCCTTCTGATTCCGGGGCACTGGGAGTGAAACACAAAGGGCAGGAGATGGACGGCTCCAGGAGCTGGAGGACGGGAGGTGGGAGGAGCTCCACGATGCCAATCACAAACAAGGGAGGGCCGGTAGGACTAGGAAACAGGGAAAGAAGCTCGAGACCAGGTTCATCACCGGTCGCGACGGGACCAAGTGCCCCAAAGGTCGGCTAACCCTGGAACAACGCGAGAGTTGGGGTAGCGCCAGACTGCGGAGAAAGGGATTACGCGCACGCGCGCCACGCCACACCCACCGAACCCTCTAAATCACGGCCGACCTAAAATGACGGACACTCACAGGGGGCCAGACCCGCTAGCTGACTGCCCCCTCTTCGGTCTTCCCTCGTTGCTCCAGCACAGCGGCACAACCAACACACACCAAATACAAGACACACCGCCACCCCGCAGCTCCGCCCCCTTCTTTCCCCACGGTACCGTCACTTCCGGTCTCCCCCAACCTACAACCGATGGCCACTTCCGTTTCCCCGATAGTAGTTGGGGATTCCGAGGCGGTACTTCCGGCTTCCCCCAGGTTCCCAAGCTTTACTTTTGCGGGACACGACGAGAAAGTCCGCAGCCCCAAACAATGAGTTGCTCGGGGCTAGACGGACTGGGGCCGGCCTAGGTGGGATGGAGCCGAGCACCCCGAAGAGCCGCCGCCGCCGTCGCCCGGGGGACCGTACTGCGCCTGCGTGCGTCTCATCGCGCATGCGTACGCACTCAAGCCCCTCCCCAACCCCTTGGAGCTGTGCGTTTCTTCTGAGCGCGCGCTTGAGCTATTAGAGGTTGAGGTGGCCCCTATAAACGCCTGAAAAAAAATTGCTAGATGGGACTTTCCAACTCTCTTCAGAGAGGCTTATGAATGGTTGTTTGGACCTCAGAACCTGTGGGTTGGATAAGACTCGCATTAGTCTATATTAAAGGCATGTGGAGAGATTTTTTTTTTTCAGGAGGCACTGTCCTGGCCACCTAAAATCCTGTCCACTCTCTAGCGCCCTCGCTGCTCGCTACTTTCGGTGCCGCGGGAGTCTGCCTTTCCGCAGGCGGTTGGAGGGAGTTCGCGAGCTGTGTTGTGTTAGGTCGCGTTGTTTGGGCCTGATCTCGGTTCAGCCTGTGGGCGTTCTGCAGAGCGTGGACGCCATGTTCCTCGCCGGCTGTGCGCGACCGAGGGGACACGCTAGGTTTTGAAGGAACTAAGAATTCACTACTTTTCATCCCAAAGAAAAAGTGTCCCAGGGTTTGGAAATTAGGAGCAAATAGAGCTGAACTGGGCCAAATCTCAAGAATCTGACTCTGGGAAATGAAGGGGCCGCTTGGATGCCCCCGCGGGCCGAGGGGGCCTTCCCCCCTCTGCCCGTCTCCCACAGGCGATGCTGCTACTTCTCCAACTAGATGCTGGTGCCTAGATGCCGGCCTTGTTAGGATTCGTAGTATACCTCCAGGTAGCACTACATTTTAGTTTGGTGTTCTAATAAGCAAACTCAGAATTTTTTTTTTTTTTTGCGCCAACCAATTTGCTAAGGTACCGTCACATTTAGCGTCTTCGAACGTCTGAAATAGTTATTACACCTTATAGGTGAGTACACTAGGCTAAGGTAGGGCAGAACTGACAAATCTGGCCAGTCAGACTCCACCTGAAGCACTTATTTTCTTAAGTGCCCCAATAAATATTGAATTTTAGTTTATTATAAAAACTGTCAATCATTACCCAAAGATAGAATAGTGCAATGAGCCTCCATATAACCATCACCCAAATTTTGTTCTTTTAACTAAATTATAAGACAGATGGGGGAGGGGCAGGGTGCGGGTTATACACAACCTATTAAGGAGGCCCCACCTCTCATTACATTAATTGCTTCACCAGCTTGGCATTATCCTGTGACTGCCTCTTGATACTTTTCTTACCTTTTGAGAAGTTTTACCCGCCAGAAATTGAGTAAGTACTTTAGGAACATCACTATTAATCGCAAAGAATGTTTACTTTGTACTTACCACATGTAGACCTTTGCCAAGACCTTTGTGTGCATTATCTCACTTAATCCTATGAGATTAATGATTTGCTCGTTTTACAGATGAGAAAACAGTTATAGAAAATAATAAAGCTGTCCAAGATCTAATAAGTAATAGAATTAGTCCGCCTAATACCAATGTCTAGTCAATTTAACCAGCAGATCCTGTATCCTCTAGTAGTGATAAATGAACTCACCGCCATGTAAATGAACTTCCTGGGGTGTACATACTGTTTCCTCGATTACACACTTTGGAGAGGAAGACTTCCACCCACCATGCCCCAGCACCTGGTTCATACCTGTTCTAAAGCACATAATCAGTTTGTACTGCAATTATTTGTTTACACAGATTTCCTTATACTAACTTCTTCAAGGCTGTGGAAGATATCTTACTCATGTTTATGTCCTCAGGACTTAGCCAGTTCCTAGGAAACAGCTGGGACTAGTTTGCAAAGTGAATGAATGAAAGAAATCAATCCATCTCTTCAGTGCTGCACAGCACAGCATGTAGCCAACTCAGAAATGGGTTGAAAGACCATAGGCTTCTACCTGGAGGGCTCAGCTCTCCTGATCACTCTGGACAAGCCAGGGTGTATTGTGGAGTGGCTGCAATCAGAAGAAGAGGGGGAGGAAGGCCATCACTAAGTAATCCAGGTTGGAGTTGGAAAACAAAGTTGAAGTTACTCATTAGCAGGCTCAAGGGTCAAGGGTCAAGGCAAGGGGGCTGGAAGCTGAGTGGACTGAGCAGCTAGCCCGGGAGAGAGCAGTTAAGGCATCAGCCACTCCACGCAGCGTGCCAGCTCCCTCTTGCCTAAAGATGTTCCATCAGGTCTGGGCAGCTCTACTCTACTTTTATGGCCTTCTCTACCAGTGCCCCGAGCACAGTCAACTGACCGCTCAGGGAGTGGATGGGAAAGAGGTATGGATTGAGAATGGGAGAAGTTGGGGGGGGTTGTTCTGAGGGACATGGGTGAATGGTCTAGGATGTCCAGAAGCCACCTTGGGAAAGAGAGTAGGAAGGCATAAGTGTTGTGATGATAAAAGCAAGAAAACATACAAAAATACTAGTGCTCTGACAATCAATGGGGAGACGTGACAGAATTGGTGGGGGGAGGAGGTGTTATTCAGGTTGATTGTGGGGCAAAGAGGAAACATCGCTTAGTGTTTCCTGCCTTAGCTCCAACCCCAGTTGGAAAGAGGCAGCCCAAATTTTGGCTATCATAACTAATGAAGAGGATGGATGACTCCCACACCAGGACCACCCTTCTTTCTCTGTTCACTGTCTATCTCTCCAGTTCCCAGAGCCCCACCTGGGCCAGTGGTACTTTATCGCAGGGGCAGCTCCCACCAAGGAAGAGTTGGCGACTTTTGAGCCTGTGGACAACATTGTCTTCAACATGGCTACGGGCTCTGCTCCCATGAAGCTGCAGCTTCGCGCTACCATACGCATGTAAGTAGTGAGGAAGCAGAGACATCAGTAAGTGCAGTCTCTCCCAGAATGTGAGCACTTACCCACTGCGCTGTGGTCCTGCCTATCTGTCTACACTTCAATGAACACAGTTGAGTAGTTGCATTAGCTGCTCTCTGGAGAGACACGGACCTAACCATCCTTTGGTAGCTTAGCACTCAAAGGCACCTTGGCTTCAAGAAGGAATCAGGGCCTCTCTGGTGGCACAAGGGACTAAGTCTCAGCACTATCAAGCTATCTGCACCCACTGCAGCATGAGTTCAACTAGGGAGCTGACCCACATGGCCCAGCAGACCTCTCCTGTCTCCCCACTACTCCCCTCAGCAGAGTATTTCAGTAGGTCTGCTTGTTTTGCTCCGCACTCTGATAAATCCTCTAACCCCTAACCCTCCCCCCTACTCTTGTATGCATAAATAAAATGATTTTATACCTATACCCAGCTCTTGTATGCATAAATGATTTTTTTAAAAATACTTATTTACGCATACAAGAACTGGAGTACAGGCCAGAGGTGGAGGGGGGGGTGAGAGATTTCACCATAGACAGTGGGGAGCAGAACAGGGAGTTGTACTGAAATATACTGCTGAGGGGAGCAATGGGGGGGCAGGTCAGGAGAGGTCTGCTGCACCATGTGGGTCAGCTCCTTGGCCTGGAATCAAACTCCCACTGCAGTGGCTGTGGAGAGCTTCACAGTGCTGTGCTTTCACCTGTTGCACCACCAGGGAGGGCCCAATATAAAATAATTCTTTTTAAAAAATCAAATGGAATAGAGATTGGTACTGTGTAAGTGAGGTGTCAGTCTTTCCTCATTGCTACCATCACCTCTACAGGAAAAATGGACAATGTGTGCCTCGGGAATGGACCTATCACCTGACTGAAGGGAGCACAGATCTCAGAACGGAAGGTTGGTTCTCTCCAACCCACACTTACCCCACATCCCTGGGGCTCACTTAGTTTTGCATCTCTGCCTTCAACCTTCCCCCATCCAACCTAACAGGCCGCCCTGACATGAAGACCAAACTCTTCACCAGCTCATGCCCAGATGGAATCATGCTGAAAGAGACAGGCCAGGGTTACCAGCGTTTCCTCTTCTACAGTGAGTGGGGATGCCAGGCAGGAAGAGTTGGAGGGAGGTGGGAAGGCAAGAAATTCTCTGGGCCCTCTAGGGTCCTCACTGTGGGTGGTGCTGAGGTGCAGGGGCTCTGATGGGCTTGGCCCCACCCTACCTTCTAGATCGCTCACCACACCCTCCAGAGAAGTGTGTGGAGGAATTCCAGTCTCTGACCTCCTGCCTGGACTCTAAGGCCTTCTTACTGACTCCCAGGAATCAAGGTGAGGGGGTAAAGTCCCACAGAAGAAGCAAAGGACTCACCAGGGGACTCAAGTGATACCATAGAGGGCCTGGGCAAAGGCTCACATATCAGTGGCTGTGGTGATCCCTCCATTTGTGTCACAGGCTACCGTGGCACCAGAGCTATGTCACCTGCGGGAGCCAGGATGGGCTCTGGGCTACTTGAAAGTGAAATTTCTGAGTTTGCAATAGATAGAGGGGCAGCTATCGGAGGGAAGAGATTCCTTTGAATGAGGGAATGCATTTTCTCTACCCCATTACTGCCAACTTTGTTTTCCCCCTTCCCATTCTCTTTACTCCCTCCTCCTACTACAGAGGCCTGTGAACTGAACAGCAACTGACCTGCGACTTCATCTGTCCCTCCAGATGGATATGGTGGGAGCTGACATCATGATGGGGGGAAGAGAAGCTGGAGACTCCAAACCCCCTTTCAAGGTTAATAAAAATGGGTTTTCAATTTTCACCTCATTCTTAACTTTCTCTCCAGACTTCAGGATTTCTCCTGGAACGCCTACCACCTAAACCTCTAGCTGGACGGCGTCAGGAAGGACACTGAGTGCAGTAACTCTCTCTTTGTAACCATATATTTAGGATTTGGTATGACACAGTTATTTATTGCTGAACAAACCCCTAAGTGGGAACTGCAAATTCCAGTGTTTCTCCACACTGAGCCAGTCCTCCTGCCAATACTGCCTGCCCCATCCCTATTCCCTCTGGCCCCCAGATCTCTCCTATAGACTCTCTGTCACCCATGGGGCCCAACCAGACCCCCTAAACTACCTGCCTAGCAGTCTACTCTTCCCTAGATGACTCCAGTCCTAGGATTCAAGGAGTTCCCACTCACCCTCCTCCCCTAGCCTGTCCTGTTATCTGTTCTCCCCCGCTGGAGAGTTTGAAAAGGTAGAAAGGAACCTTTTCCCACCACTACATTTTTTTTTTTTTTTTTTTTTTTTTTTAAAAAGTGAAGGTGCAAGAAAATACAAACAGAGGAGGGAGAAAAGTAAAAGTCAAAAGTAACAATAGCTGGTGAATTCAAGGACAATGACCCCACTATCCATAAACACAGACCCTAAACAGCTCTAGCCTCTCATGTGTGGAGTGGGGGTCCTGTGCCCTCATACTTTGGGGTTTTGTCCCCATCCCTGAGGTCCCTGTGCTTACAACCTGGGTCATGCCCCCCACTCTCCTCCTGAAGGCCACACTACCCTTGCCACCACCCGAGTGAGGGTGGGGTCCTGGGTTACGTGCCCCCCTGCAGTCAGTCACAGGCCCTTTTCTGGCTCTCCCCTCTGCTCCTCACCTTCCCTCCCCAATTTCTCGCCCTCCCAATCAGTGGCTTCTTCAACCCCACTGGGCTCCCGGAGGCTGACAGCCAGCACTAGGGCCTGTAGGAGACCAAAGAGGCAGGCAAAATGTAGGGGGTGAGCAGTGAGTAGGCTCAGCACAGCATGGAGCCCATGCAGGGCGGCCAGGAAGCAGAGTAGCCCGTGCAGCCAGAGTCCGAATGGTCCCCGCAGGCCCAGTGCATCCAAGGCTGCTCTCAGAGGCCGAGAGCACAGCCCCAGGAGGGCTGAGGCCAGCAGCTCCAGCAGGTGCAGCGTCAGGTTGGTAGAGATCTGCAGACTTTCCTCTGGGCTCCCCAGGTATTGTGAAGGAGCCCCATCTCTCCCAGCTTGTTCACCCCGCAGCCAGCCCAGCAGCTTCTGACGCCGGCCTGGTTTCTCTGCCGGGACGTCAGGCTCATGGGAACTCAGTCCCCCTTCCAGCATCATTCCAGGTCTCTTGGTGCCACCTGCGTCCATAGGATCCCATCTCAGTTTGGAAATGGCTCCTTCGGCCTCTAGTCTCCCAGACTCTTGAGTGCTAGAGCTGGCCCTGTCCCACTTGAGGGAATCCATTCTTTTGCTCCCCGACTGCTCAACATAGGACTCTCTGCTTAGTTCTGGAGCAGCCACAGAGCGCCTCTGTGCTCCTAAGTCCTTGGCCTTAGGAGGTCCCACCTCTCCCATAGTTTCTGGGGCACTGTCCCAGTCGCTCCCTGAATTCTCCGAGGAGCTGTCCAACCGTCTGGGTTGTGGAGCTGGCAGGTCTGGCTTGCGGCGACCCCAGGGGTGAGGTACCCAGCCACCAAGCCTTCGCAGAAACATGGCTGGTGTATGTAATGAGCTCCCAAACCCTGGGCTTGCCTCCTGGCACTGCTTAGATGCTCAGTTTTGGGGGTGAGTACCCCTGAAACTGGAGTCTGTTCAGGCTCAAAATATCTGTTGGTGAGTCCTACTCTCAATTCAGAGGTGCCCCACTTCCCTGGCTGGTCATGCTGCAGCCTCAAGTGTGGCAGGCAGTGTGCTTCCTTGTTTGTTTTGAGGTAAAGATGGGCACATCCAAATTCCTTCCACCCCAAGCGATTCCAAGAGTCACAGGACCTGACAAGGCCTGGGTCACCCCAGTGTCCTTCCTATGTTTCCAGTTTCTCCCAGCAGGCAGCACCCCAAATTTCACTCACCAAGGCCACTCCCCAAGATGCCCCAGAAGCTGGGGAGGTGATGCTCCATCCAAGAAGACAGGAGGAAGGTGGCCAGGGGTTCTAGGTACTCCAGTTCTAGGACGTCCTTCGCTGTTGCCCTAAGGGAGCTCTGGAATAGGGAGTCTCCAGTGTGTGTGAGGGGAAGGGAAAGTCTGTGTCCTGCCCTCCAGCCCGCAGGGACGGTCCTTTGATTTAGAGGGCTGTGGCTTCTACAAAGCGGCCTTTCCGGCAGGGAGCAGGCAGCTGAGACGTGGCTTCCGCAAGGTCAGGCTGGACATGTCCTCGGAGATCTCAGTATTGAAGCAAACAGGGGACCTGTCTGGCGACCCAGGCGTCGGGGGCTAAGAGCTGCGGCCCCTCCCGGGCCCGGCGTCGGGGCCGCAGCCTCTCGGAGCCGCAGAGCCCGGAAGCTGCTGTAAGCAGACGGGAGGGACATGCCGGGGCGGAGCCCGCAGCTCGCGGGGCGGACTCGGAGGTTCGGCCGCCCCCGCGCTGTTTGTGCGCACCGGCAGCGCGCACAGGGGCGTACCGCAGCGCGGGGCGAAGCGCCCAGGCCAGGCTGGGTTCTAAATCCTGCCCTCCACTTGCGTCATCCGGAGGCTCCCCGGATGACGTTAGGTGTTAACTCCTCCTGCCCCCTACCTTTGGGTTCTTGCCCGCAGCCCCCACCATTCCGCCTTATGTCTACGACTCCATAAAAGGATTTCTCGGAAAGCAAAGCTAGGAGAAAAACCTTGAGACTCAGAAATAACTAGTCGTTCCATTAGGCTCTAGGCTCAGGTTTTACTTGCTAGATTTGACAAGTGAGCTTTTATGGCTAACTTGAGCAGCACAAGGGGTGGGAGGGCGGTCAAATAGAATGTGCTTCCCACCCTCAAGTTTTCAGGCTGAAATGGACTATTTCAGAAGTTAGATTTGGAAGGTCAGAATTCTTGTTTCGTTCGGCTTTTTTTTTCTTCAAGATTTACTTATGAATACAAGAACTGGGGTTCAGGCCAGAGGTGCAGTGGATGAGAGGATTCACTAAAGATAGAGCAGAACAGACAAATCTACTGGAATACACTGCTGAGGGGAGCAGTGGGTGAGACAGGAGAGGTCTGCTGCACCATGTGGCCCACTGGATAGATTCATAGCGGGTGCTTTAACCTGGGAGGGCCCCTATCTAGACTCTTGCAACAATCACCCTGGCTTCTTAGGAGACCTTCCCCACCACCATTACCTATGAGCTTTCTGACTTCCCCTTCCACTATGCATTATATTGGGCCACAGGGTTGTCCCCCCTGCCTTGACGAACTTGGAAGGTTGGAAATGTCTTAATCCTATTTTTAGAACATAATAAATTAAATCGTGGGGCACGGGCCCTCCCTGGTGGCACAGTGGGTGAAAGCACAGCACTATGAAGCGATCTACAGCCAATGCAGCTTGAGTGTCATCCCTGACCAGGGAGCTGAGCCACATGACATGGCAGCCTTCTGACCAGCCGGCAGCTTTCCTCAGCAGTGTTTTTTTAAGATTTATTATGCATACGAGAACTAGGGTACAGGCAGAGGTGCAGGGGCTGAGAGAATTCACCAGAGTAGGGAGCAGAGAAGGCAGGTGCACTTAAATACACGCAACAGTGTATTTCACTCCATCTGCTCCCCATTTGTCTCTGGTGACTCTGTCCACCCCCCCCCACACACACACACAACTCTGGCCAGTACCCCAGTTCTTAGACACACAGTAAATCTTTTTAAAAATTTTAAAAAGAAAAATAACAGGGACACTTGTAATGAATTAAATAATTTCTGGTGTTGTTGTGAGGGGATCAAATAAGGTGGGACATTCCAGATAAGGGCTAGGACCTGGAAGTTTGGCAGGAAGGTGACCCTACCACCTCCCTGAAAGGGCTGCCCTCTTTGGGCTCAGGTAGGACTTGCATGTGGCTCCCAGACTTGGCTTTTCTGAAACAGAAAAGTGAATAAAACACAAGCGAGAGAAAAGATTGATTTATTTCTCAAATCTCAGTCCCTCTTTCATGGCATCCCATTGACCTAAACCTGAGGGTTTGGGAACCCAGGAAGTAGAAGCCAAAGTGCACAGGTCAGAGACCCAAGTTCAGACACCAGCAGCCAACTCAGATCAGATCTTGCTAAAGTCAGAACTCAAGGTTCATGTAAGTTCTCAGATCCCGCTCCCAGGCCCTGTCTTTTTCTTCTTTCCTTCTCGCCTCCCTCCGATTTAGTGTGGCTACCCGAAGGGATCTCTCCTTCCCAGCCACAGCCCGAGTATCCCGTGCTGAGAAGTGTGTGACTCGGGGCTGGAGCACTGATCTGTAGCCTAGCCCTTCCTGGTCCCTCTTGAGGATGGTGGGGATGGGGTTGGCACGGCCTTCACCCCGGGGTCCCAGTCCCATTCCAGGTTCCCAGCCCCCCCGCAGCAGCAGCTTGAAGCCTGGGCTGGAGGTGGGCACCCCAAGAGGCAAACTGGAGGGCCGGTGACTGTGGGACAATGACAGCAAATGAGCAGTGGATGTCCGGTGGTTGGAATCTTGGAAGTAGGCATCACAGGTCTCACAATACTGGGGGGCAGGGGAATGGGACCTGCAGAGAAAGAGAAAAGATTAAGAACAAGGGAAGTGTTGAAGCCACAGAAAGGGGGTGGCAGGATGTTTTCAGTCTTTTTTTGCTAAAGGAACAGCCTTCCTCCCCACTTAGCAATGAGGGCCTGAGAGGAATAGGCGGAAGAAGTGGCAACCAGGCCTCACCAAGATCTCAGGCATAATGACCGTAGCTAATAAAGTCCTTACTACGTGGCAAGCACTTTTCTAGCACTTTACAATCCTTAACCGATTTTGAGAAAAATGCTCTTACTCCTCCCAAGAGGAGGAGGAAAATGAAACACATAAGACATTAGGCTTCCTCTCCAAGTAAGCAGAGTGCGGATGTAAGTCCAGGGAGCTCATGATCACTCTATTATACTGCCTTTATCATCAACCAGTATTGTGGGATGGGGAGTGAAGGTTCTGGGGCCAATAGTGTGGCATGGCTAAAAAGGACAGAACGCACTGAAAACTGGGCACAGGCTAAGGCTTTCTGCTCACCGGTTCTCTGCACTCGTCGTCGTCTCTCCATGGCTCTCTCTGACCATGCGGGCCACCTCAGGGAAGCCGGCTTCCTCAGCTAGCTGGGCAGCATCCTTGCCACCCAGCTCACAGACCCCTACCCAGGCAGCCCCACGACCAAGGAGATAGTGTACAGCTGCCCCCTGGCCTGCTCTGGCTGCACACATCAGAGGGGTCCACCAGAAAGCATCCCGAGCATTGATATTCCCCCCAGCTCCCCCTGCTTCAAGGGGGTCCAACAGCCTTCGAAGTTCTGCCAGGTTCCCCTCCTGGGCAGCCTTCAGTATCCGCCGCGTCATTCTGTCCTCCGCCTCACGGGATCTCCTTTGTCTCTGTCCTTCGGATGTTCCTGATACCACTGCTTCTGCAGTGGTCTCCCTTGTAGTTCTTCTTTTCTTCCTCTTTCTCACACTGGTAGGCTCAGGCTGCGCTCTCTGGGATTCAGAGGCACTGTTCTCATCCCTTATCAAGGCCTCGTAGAAAGCCCGGGTTGCAGCTCCATCCAACACGGTGGATTCTAGTTCTTCAGACTGTGACTGCTGCTGCCCATCTTTCCAGAGATCACTGGGGTTGGTGGCCCGGGTGAAGGTGATGAGGGAGGGCTTAGACATGTTTTTAGGGAGAGCTGTGAAAAGGCAAAGGAAGGATGAGAAGAAAATAACTCCCTGTCCCATAGCCCTACAGTGACCAAAGCCACCTCTAGACACTTACTGGAAAGAGGAAAAATAGTCTCTGCCAAAAACCCCCTCCCATGCCAAAAATGAGCCCACAACCTAGAACCATGCATGACCACAGGTCATGTGAAAAATATGGAACCCAACCACCTTACCCTCCTCCCCCAACCAAAGACGACCTGGGTTACTCAGGGTTCCACCCTACCCTGGGACTCACTAATTTTTCCGTAAGACATACCATTAAGAAAAACAATCAGCTTAACCCTTTAAATATCCCTTGATCCTATTTCGGGGTGTTATCTTCTGAAACAAAGACAGGCTTGATGCTTCTCCAGGTGCAGATTTTGGGAGAGGCTCTGGCTTGGCTTGTATGGCAAGATGGCACTACTGTAAACAGAAGAATTAACACAATTAGCCACATGACTCAAAAAAGCACATGTGGCTACAAAAAACAAATGAGTAGATTGATTATACACTGCGCAGATGCAGATCGCAGAACGCAGAGTTCAGCTTCCCGCCCTGGAAGCTTTCCAACACTACCTATGCAAGTGCCATGTGCCTCAGAGGTGCCAGGAGTGGGAAGATGCAAATTGGGGTTCTCCTGCTTTTACATAATGTCCCCACAATGCCCTTCGCTGCCCTCAAGTTTATTTTCTGCAGCTGGGAAACCACTCTGGGTTATGAAAGGCCCAGAGGAAGGCCAGGTAAACTTGTGGAATGCCCACATGCTGTGAAATGAGGTAACATTACACTGCCCCTCACCATTACGCAGAGCAGGGTTCGCAGGTCGAATACAGCACCAGCAGCAGAAGACCCCATTCAAGCCCTATGAAAAAATGGAGACGCGCAAGGGACGAGCTGAATGGCTGGCCCCACCTCAGGTTGGCGCACGGGGACGCCCTGGTTCTCAACACCGCTCAGCTCAGCACACCCCACCCAAGTCCCTCAACACGGAGCCAGGCCTCACCTCCCGCCTCAGACGGCCGTAGCCCAGGATGAAACATGGGTGCCGTTGGGGGTCTGTAGTGGCTGCCCGACGGGTTGGCTGGGGACAGCGTCAGTCCCCAGGACAGCAGAGTGACTTGCTGTAGAAGGAAGAGGTTGGAAAAGATCCAACCAGCCTTGCTCTTTCCACGCCCCCCAGCCCCTCCGTCAGGGTATCTCTCGACTCTGTTTCCCAAACTCCCTGGCCTCGAACCTAGTGCTGAGCTTCCGCTTCCGGTGGTTCCTCAAAGGGTCCCGCCCCCCGAACGGCTACCTCGGGGGCCTCGCGACACCAGGGTCGCGCGCAGGTCGTTCTGGGACTCGTATTTCACCCTTCCTTCATCTCGCCAGTTTCTCCCTACGGAGAACTCCATTTCCCGGCGTCCATCTCGGTGCCCGACCTTTGGCGCGTGCGCGTTGGCCTCTTCCCCACCCTCCCCAATTTCCACTCCCCCCACCCCACTTCGCTTGCCGCGGTCGGGTCCGCGGCCTGCGCTCTAGCTGTCGACGCCGTTCCTCGGAAGCAGCAACTCCCCTCCCCCACCCTTGTCCCGGTCCCGGTCCAACCGGTGAGTTTGAGGTGGTCGCCGCGCCAATTCCTCAGTCCTGGGCGCGGCACATGGGGTCTTCGTGCCTTGATGTGGGGGCGGGGAAGGAAGTGACCCAGTCTGGCACCGTGGGAGGGAGGGGTAGCCTGAGAAGCGGAGGCGGGATGTGGGGACGCTCGTGAAATTGACCAGACGGCCGCCCCCAGGCCATGAAAAGAGGGACCCAGCTCTTGCTTGGAAACGATAAACTTCGGAGTCTTTGGGAAAGGCGCCGTGGACATGCAGAGACTTGTGGGGGTAGGGAGCACGAGTCGAGGCCCTGGCGGAGTTGCAGGAGAGAAGGGTCCTAGCCTTTGGGAGCGTCAGAGATGTGGCTGGGACTGGTGGGATCTCTCTGCTGGGACTGTCGGTTTCTCTCAAGTGGTGGGATCCCAAACCGTGTGTAATCTCAGAAAAGTGATTGAGGGTGTGAACGAGAGCTGGAAAGAGGTCCTGCGAAGCCAGGGATCTTTTAAGAAAAGGTGGCCCCAAAGTCTCCCGTGGTTGGAGTGCAAAGTTTGGGAGGATGGAGAGTTTGGGCTTTACTTAGACTCATCTTTTTCCAGCTGAGGTGAAGATGAGCAGCTCAGAGGAGGTGTCCTGGATTTCCTGGTTCTGTGGGCTCCGTGGCAATGAATTCTTCTGTGAAGTGAGTTCTCCTCCACCTCCCTGCACACCACCACATAACAGGCTGGCCAGATATCCTCCACATGCCACCACCATGCACTTCTTTTACCTGCTTCCATAGGAACTTTTTCCTGCTAAGGAAGTGTACCCTTAGTAAATTCCCACTAACCTGTGGTTAAAGTGGCAAGACAGACCCAAGTCCCAACCCTCCCACTCTCCGCAATATAACATTGGACAAGTGAACTTGTGTCTTTTCCTTCTTATTACTGGAGAGGTGCAGGAAATACCTGTCTCTGCTGATTGTTATGAAAATCAAGGTGTTGCATGTTAAAATGTGTTGTCATGTGGAAAGCTGTGTGTTAGCACAGGGATTGTAACTGCCTTCACAGCCCAGCCTTCCTGCCTTCCTCAGAGAGCCTGCTGCCCCTAAGGATAGGATGAGCCTGCTTCCCAGAGGTGGGAACTCTGTATGGGGACAGGGATCCAGAGAAGAATGTCTCGCTACAGAGGAGACATTGCATTACTTGTTTATCCTTAGAAAGGAAAGCCAAAGTATTTACGGGAAGACAAGTGTAGGTGAACTGGAGAGCGACTCAAGTACTTCGGTTGAGTTGGGATGGGGAACAGAAGTTGAGTGGAGGATAAGGCATGCCTTAGAGCAGTTTGCTCAGGTCAAAACCAAGGATTCTGCCATGGATCCCTCTTGACTTACGCGTCCTGACAGGTGGATGAAGACTACATCCAGGACAAATTCAATCTCACTGGCCTCAATGAGCAGGTGCCTCACTATCGACAAGCTCTAGACATGATCTTGGACCTGGAGCCTGGTGAGGCACCCTCAGGGTGGTTTTGTGTGTACGGGTTCTTTTTTTCTTTTCTCTCTTCAAATCCCTGTTCACCTGCTTCTTGAATTTCTGAATTTTCTTTTGGCTTTCTGCCTCCTCGAATGCACAATTTCCAACTTCATTTTGATTCCTCACCCAACTATTCCCTAGTTGAGTGACTTAACACTGCTTGTTTCTATGTGCGGATCCTGTAATTCAGCTCTATCCCATAATGCCCCAAGTTTCCCCATGGGTCATACTTTCTGCCTTGCAGTTTTAGGTTCAAAGTTCTACGCTCTGTACTGATATTATTGCATTTGTGTGTTGATGAGGGAATTGGGAGGGAGTGAAGAAAGCAGAGACTATGAAGAGGTCTTGGTGAGAAATTGCCTTGGGTTTGTGGCTCAGAGACCTCAGTTTCTGGGTCAGATGACCCAAGGTGATGGGTGGGATAAAGCTCAAGGGTGGGTGCTGGGAAAAGTGAGTAGCCAGTAACCCTTGGGGATAGGCAGGGCACCTAAAAAAGCTGTAAGACAAGTAGTTGCATTCTGCTGGGGCCGTGTTTCAGATGAAGAGCTGGAAGACAACCCCAACCAGAGTGACCTGATTGAGCAGGCAGCCGAGATGCTTTATGGATTGATCCACGCCCGCTATATCCTCACCAACCGTGGCATCGCCCAGATGGTGAGGCCTCTCTACTCCCACTTGACTCCTGAGGCAATCAGGGGACAGAGATTCCTGCAGCAATAAGTTACATGTTTCAGTTCTGTCAAGTAGTCTGAGAAGAGGGAAGAAGCCCAGAACCTGGGCCTGGGAATTCAGTCCCCATTGGGAGTAGTACTGAAGGGGATGTTTTCAGGGAGGGAGACACAACCTTCAGCAGGAAGTAGTTATAGGCTGCTTTTCCTTAGGGAACAAACACTGATGTTCTGATAGTCTAGCATCAGCCTTACCTGAAGGATGGGAGGCAGAGGTGTCTGGGGGCCAGAGAAGGGGCCCCTTGACAGAGAGAGGCAGGAGGAACAGAAGACAGAGTAATGTGGTCAGGCTGAGGAGGAGGGGATCACATCTTTCCCATTCACCCACCAACTCCTTCCATTTTATTCACCTCAGCTGGAAAAGTACCAGCAGGGAGACTTTGGCTACTGTCCCCGTGTGTACTGTGAGAACCAACCCATGCTTCCCATCGGTGAGTGTCAGAGAAGGAAAAGGAGGGCAGCATATGGCAGGTTCTCTGGGGAGGAGTTGGGGCTCAGTAGGTTGGACCCTGAGTCTGGGAGGGAGGTTGAGCAGGTTTGAAGGACTGACCTGCTGAATCTGGCTGTCCCCCAGGCCTTTCAGACATCCCAGGTGAGGCCATGGTGAAGCTCTACTGCCCCAAGTGCATGGACGTGTACACACCCAAGTCGTCGCGGCACCACCACACGGACGGCGCCTACTTCGGTACCGGTTTCCCTCACATGCTCTTCATGGTGCACCCCGAGTACCGACCCAAGCGGCCCGCCAACCAGTTTGTACCCAGGTGGGAAGTAGAGACTGTCACCAACAGTCATATGAAAGGCCTGGGACCCCTGGGGCAACAGGGCATAGTTGTTTCTTAAGAGCTGCTTCTCCCTTTGAAAAGTTCTTTTAACTGTTTAACTCTCAGTTCCAGTATCCATAAACTAAGTATGATGACAATTCCTGCCTGACAGGATATTTCTACACCAAGAAATGACATTCGGCATTTGTAGCTCCATGTAAACAACTTTGTTGTCACCATCTTGGTTAAGCCTTTGCAAAGATTCTCTTAGCTTAGCTGAGGTGTGCTTTGTCTTCTGGGACATCATTTTTATTCTAGTATGGGAAAGAAGATTGGGCTTCTGTATTTATCAAGTACTGATGCATAAGTATCTGTACACACACATGTATGTTCTAGAATTTGAATTCTAGTAGATATTTAAGGTTCATCCCCAAATATTCCTGAGGAGAGGATCTTGGGCACCAGTGCCCGTAAGTATCAAGCAGGCTTACGGAGGAGCTGGAGTGGGAGGTGGGAATGCAGGCCGCTGGCAGGGCCGCAATGGGAAGGGGGCTCACCCTGCTTCCTCTCACCTCTGCCCTGGCCCAGGCTCTATGGTTTCAAGATTCATCCGATGGCCTACCAGCTGCAGCTCCAAGCAGCCAGCAACTTCAAGAGCCCAGTCAAGACGATTCGCTGATGCCCCCTCCACCTTTGACACCTCCGTTCCTCCGCTGCCGCCCTTTCAGGAATCCTCTATGGTTTTTAGTTTAAGTTAAAGGAGTCATTATTGTGGTGGGAATAATGAAATAAAGTGGAAGAAAAGGCTGTGATGTAGTTTGCTGTGCTTGGGGTTGGTAAAGGGAGGGCAGCAAAGTACTGGATGGATCCCAGGGACTTTCTCGACCTAGTCACACACACCCCCAAGTTGAAAACCAGCAAAAATGTGTATTCAGTAGTTTTGAATGGTGTTCTTAGTAGAGAGCAGAGCAGAATCCCTAGGGGGGTTGTGATTGCCAGTTCACAAGACTAAAGAAGTATTTGTTCTTTTTAGGCCACTTACACTGCTCAGTGGTGCCAGTGTGCCCTCTGCTGGGCACACTGAGTCGTGCTCATCAGAGGGAGACCACACCGGCTGCTTAGCCAGGTTCCCTGCAAGATTGTCACTAGCACTGTTGTCTGGGGAGTTGGTGCTAGGAACATGCAAATTCATAGGCCCTTGTGGAGGCCTTTATGGGCCACTCAGCATAAAGGTAGACAGTTGGATCAAGGCCCAAGTGGGGCCAGGTATTGCCCCTGTCTGGGCCATTGTTCCCACATTCTGGACCGAGCTGGTGGGTGAGGACACAGCGTCCCTGCTGAGAGGTAATAACTTCCTCTCTGCCCCCACCTCCATTCTGCCCAGGCAGGAATATAGCTCTGTACCTAACAGCAGCTCTTGCTCAAAACTGCCCCACAGCTCAGGATCAAGGCCTGTGATCACAGAAAGGTGGGGCTTTAGGGTACCCCTCAGGGACTGTCCCCAGAATTCCATGATGAAGGCGCATATGCTTATAGGTGTGCTGGTCATGGTGGGCTGCTCAATAGGGAAGGGTAAGTGGGGTCCAGGGCAAGGGAGGAAGGGGTGACTGAGTCCATGGAGGGGCTGGGCCCCTGGACATGCGGCCCCACCCCTGCTGTCTTCCACTTCCCCAGCTCCCGTTCCTGAAGTCCGGACCTGTCACCTCTGTCTCTTAGAAGACCCTTCCTTGGGCTGCATTTCAGGCTCGGAGAAGTGCACCATCAGCAGTCGGTCCCCGTGCATGGTGATCACCATTTACTACAGTGAGTCAGAGCCAGGAGGGGTTGCGGGCCCACCTACTGCTTGGTCTCTCCCCTCATAGATGGGGACTGCCTGGCACCTGGGCTGCAAGAAAGAAAAGGACCTTGGAAGGAGGGGTCTGGGATTCTGAGGCCAACTAAGCTAATTTCCTGGGTCTGGGTGAGGGAGGAGAGCCAGGATTAGGGGCAAGGGGAGGCCCAGGGTTATTAGCTGTCCCTTCTCCTCCAGATACCTATATTCGCTTCTTCATCCGAGGCTGTGGACAGTACCATTCTTACCGCTGCCAAGAAACACACAACACCTACTTCCCACAGTACTGGTACAGGGCCCAGTGCTGCCAGTATGATTACTGCAACTCCTGGTCCAGCCCCCAGCTCCAGAGCTCCCTGCCTGAGCCCCAAGGCAAGACCCTGGCCCTGCCTCTTTCTGACCCCCAGCTCCAGCGGTTCTACCAGGCCCTGAACCTCTCACTACCCCTCCCCAGCTTCCATGCTGAGAGGGAACCTGAATACCTGGATCCCCTGATCACCCTGCCCCTGAGACTGGGCTTGTCTATTGCCGACCTGCGCCACATTTACCTGTTCCTCAACAGCTCAGGACTTTTGGTTCTTCCCCGGGCTGGACCCTGACACCTTGCCTTTCCCAGGCTCCATTCTTCTTCCAGCATCGCTCCCCTAACACCCCAGCCTCCTGCACCTGCCTCTCAGAGCACTTAGTCTCTGCTCTGTGATTTCTTTGGCCTCCTTTCCTTTGTACTTCCAGCTTCTGTGTATTTTGGTTTAATGTCCTCCCCTGAAACCAGTTGGTACTGTATCCAGTGCTCTACTCGCTTGCTTCTAGAAAAGAACCTCAAGTGCAAATTCTGCCCAGACCCCCCAAAAAAGACACAGACTCACCTCTTCCTCATCATCCAAATGTCCCATCATTCCCCTCCACCCCCTCTCAATCTGCTCACATGCCACCACCATTCAGATCTGGCCCTGTGTCCTATGCCTGTCTCTAACACCTGGCACCAGGCTGAACTTGCAGCAAGAAGGAGGGGTAGATTTCTGTGCAGAGACCCTGACTTGGCACTCTGGCATCCTTGCCTCACTCTCCGAACACCCCATTTATTTCTTGCTGCTCTCTCCTCTCTCGTCCCAGTCTTTCAGTCTTTCACCTCTTCAGCTCTGCTTCGCATCACTGAGTCGCCATACATACTTACTATATAGGTGCCCAGGGAGAAAAGAAGCAAGGTAGGGTTTGGCCTGCTGTTACATATCTCCCGATTTCCTGACACAATAAATGGACTGCACCAAGCCTGTCACAATGCTTATGGGGTTGGGCTTAGGTATAGACAGGTTAAAGAGAATTAATTGGGGGTGTGGTAAAAATAGGGATGCCTGCTCCCTTAGCCTTTGTGGGTTACTCCTGACTAGCCAGCCCACCCACTGCTCAGCTAGAGTCAAAGCATGAGGATGGTAACTCCTCCTGCCTTAGACACCCTAAAAACCTAGAAACTTAAACCTAGGTAATGCCAAAACCTTTCTACTTAAGAGAGTAGGAAATATTCTGTCCTTATACCAGGATTCAGGAGCAAGTAAAGGACCAGTTCAGCATCTTAGGGTCACCTGGTCCCTAGTTCTTTTCAGGATCCTGGCACCCAGCACCCTCCTGTGGAGTTCTAGGTGAAGGAGGAGGACATAAGAGCATACAGGTGGGGTTGCACTGGCTGGATCTTTAGTTTTTATGTTTGAAAAATTGCACACATAAAGAAAGCAATAATGAATATTCATAATTGGACATTTCCTATATACTCATTAAACACTGGATGCATGGCTCGGAGCCAGATCTGGTGTTAAGCACCAGAACTCAGAAGAGTTCAGAAGTGTCCAGCTTCCTGCATCTCACACCCCGGTGTTGGTGTTCTGAGCCCAGCACTGCAGCTTTGTGGCTGGGACCCCAATCCCAGCACCTCTGCCATTTGGGTGGTTTGGTCGCCCAGCCTCACTCGGTCACTTAGCAAGTAGAGATAATACCTAGTGGGTTGAGAAAATGCATGTAAATGTGTGCATATGTGGGAGGGAGCCCTCAAAAATAGACACATGCCTTAGAACAAATGCACACACAGCTGTGGTCTCTTTATTTTTAAACCCCCTTGGCAAAACACAGATGCTCACACATGCCATAAGATGGGTAACCAGTGTTAGGGGTCCCTAAGTCAGCACGAATGGCCTTCGTCAGCGTCCAGAAGAACTGCCTTCATGCCCCCTCCTGGCACTTGCCCCCCCATCTCTTAGGGGTTGCCACAGTCCCGAGTTGTAGCAGCTTAGGTGAAATTTGTGTTTGGTATAAATGGTGTCGTTCAGCACTTATTCTTGCCTACACAGCATTTTATACAAATACATGTCTGTGGTCCCTTTAATTTGGTGGGAGGTCTGAAGAGAGGTATAAACCTTCCATGTGTCCTCTTGCTGGGCCTACCTTTTCTGGAAGCCCGGGGTCAGGTCAGAACTTCATTAGGCCCAGCCCCTCTTCCCCAGAGTACCCTTCTCCAGCCCTTCCTCACCTCTGCTGCCTAAATCTCACCCTCTCCCCTATGTCCTCCCAGCCAGTGTCCAAACAGCCCTGGCTTTCACTAAGCTAAGTACAGGACTCTATCCTGAGGGTTATTGCATTTCTGAGATACCCACTATGTTTTGGGCCTTCATCATAAGGGGGCCTTCAATTCCTTGTCACCTTTTTGTGCATAGAGCTGAATCAGACACCCAGGCAGGCAGAAGCAGAGCCGCGTGCCCCTTACCTGCCCCACAGTGGGACCATCATGCACAACTACCTTCTTTGGCTCTACCCCCTTGGAAGAGACAGACAAACTACAATTTGCACACTAATTTATTTTGGAGGAACACCTGGGGGTTTACTCAAATGAGTCCTGTGGTGAGGGGAAGGGAGGAGGAACAAATAAAAACAAAATCACCATCTGGAGGTAGGAGCAGAGACAAGGAAACTGAAGATTTGAGGGGGAAATGTCAGAAGATTCTGGGGGAGGGACAGACTGGGAAAAGGGATATTGAGGGGTGTCAATAGAGAGGAAGACAGGACTGGGGTCAGGTACCTTAAGGGAGTCAGAGGGAAGGATTGGAGGTTGTCCAGTCTGATTAGAATGAGGATGACTGGAAATAGTTACTCCAGATGTCTTCTGCAGACATACTAAGGTAAGTTCAGGACTCTGTTCTGAGGGTTATTGCAGAAATCCAGGAAGCAGCATTGAGAGAATATCCAGTAGCCAAACACGGGAGAGGTGCGGGTGTGTGAGCAGTCACTCATCTGCTCCTTGCGGCGACAGTCACTCACCAGGATGTCAGTACCCGAGCCTGGGGCAGGATGGCAGCAACCAGTGATGCGAGGCCCCAGCAAAGCCCCAACCGTCCCACCCCCTCACTCCAAACGGACTTATCACTGCCCCCACACTCTGCCCTGGGCCCTTATGATGCAAAGATTCTTGGAACTGGCTCCAACTCTGTGAGAGCTTCGCATAGCAGATGGGAAAGGGCCATTTGAAACATGAGGGTGGATGGAGCTGGAAGGGATGATGCTAACCAAAATAAATCAGGAAAAAAGGAAAATGGAATGATTTCATTTATGAATGGAATATAGGAAAACCAAACGAAGGGTCAGGAAAAAGACAACACTTGCAAGCTGATGGTAGATCTGAGGCAAACGGCAAGGAGGGGTGGAGAGGAGTTAGAAGAGGGGAGGGGAGAGCACGAGAGACTGTGGTGGTGGTAGAACTACATGTGAGGGGGGATAATGATGCATGAAAATAAATAAAAACAGGGCCCTCCTTGGTGGCAGGCACAAGAGGTTAAAGTGCACCACTGTGAAGCTGTTGGGAGCCAGCCAGGGAGCTGATCCACATGGTGTAGCAGACCTTTCCTGGTTCTCCTTTGCTGTGTATCTCAGTAGATCCACCAGTTCTGCTCCCCACTCTGTCTTGCTGAATCCTCTCATCCCCCATGCCTCTATCCTGTACCCCAGTTCTTGTATGCATAAATAAATATTTTTTTAAATGTGAAGTTTGGAGGTGGCTGAGTTGGAATTTGTGAATTGGGGACAAGTTTGAGAGAGAACCGTGGAGAGGAAGTATACTTAATAACTTTAAATCACAGTGGCCTCCCTGGTGGTGTAAGTCACAGCACTATGAAGCTATGCTCAGCCACTGCAGCACAAGTTCAACCCCTGGCCAGGGAGCTGACCCACATGCGCAGCAGATCTCTCCTGACCTGCCCGCTTCTCCTACCAGCAGTGTATTTCAGTAGATCTGCCTAGTCTGCCCCCAACTCAGTCTCTGGAGGACCCTTTCATCACCCCTCCACCTCTGGCCTGCACCCCAGCTCTTTTATACATAAATAAATCAATCTTTGCAAAAATAATAAAATAAATCATAGTGGGCAATGTTTTGTACCCAAGTACCAAGATGTTTGTTCACTGCCACCCCACTTGAGAGAGTGAAAAATCAAAAGCAACCTGAAGGCCTGTCAACCACGGGATGGATAGAAGGACCCCTTGAGGCCCAGGCCCTGGAGTGCCACATGGCAAGAACAGAACAGAAAGCTGTTTACAAGATGACTGGGAAAGATTAAGTTCCCTTAGCTGAGAACTGTGATAAAACAAGTGCAGAACAGTCTTTAGTGGTATGCTGTTGTTTGGAGGGGAGAGGTGAAAAGGAGTCAAGAGGTGCAACAGGAGGTTAAATCTCAGTTCTATGAAGCTACCCCAGCCTTTGCAGCATGAGTTCAGTCCCTGGCCAACATGAGTGTGATCCCTGGCCACATGGCGCAGCAACCCTCTCCTGTCTCACCTGCTGTGCCCCTCAGCAGTGTCTTTTAGATCTGCCTGTTTTGTTCCCCACTCTGTCTCTGGTGAATCCTTTCACCACCCCCCTCACCTCTGGCCTGTACCCAAGTTCATGTATGCATAAATAAATAAATCTTAAAAACAAAAAAACAATTAAAAGAAGTCCAGAGACTACTTGTATAGGTGGAGTGTGTACAAAAGTTCACAGGGTAAAAAGACAGTGAAAGAATTGATGTGTGCTTTGTATTTTAAAAAAAGATTAGGCCCTCCCTGGTGGTGCAGCGGGTTAAAGCACTGCACTAAGAAGCTAAAGCCACTTCCGCATGAGTTCGATCCCCGCCTGCCCCAGAGGTGACCACATGGCGTGGCAGACCTCTCCTGACCCACCCCCTGCTCCCCTCAGCAGTGTACTGCGTTGATCTGCCTGTTCTGCTCCCCGCTCTGTCCCTGGTGAATCCTCTCACCCTCCGCATCTATGGCCTGTACTCCAGTTCTGTATAAATAAATAAATCTTCAAAAAAAAAAGATCATTTATGCATACAAGAACTGGGGTAGAGGCCAGAGGTGTGGGGGGCTGGTGAGAGGATTCACCAGAGACAGAGCGGGGAGCAGAACAGATGGATTGACTGAAATGCACTGCTGAGGGGAGCAGTGATGGATTCAGGAGAGGTCTGCTGTGCCATGTGGGTCATCTCCCTGCTAGGGATTGAACTCATGCTGCAGTGCCCGGGGTAGCTTCATAGTGCTGAGACGTAACCCTTTGTACCACCAAAAAGGCCCAGGGTTGCTGTCTTCTTTCTTATCAGAGTGGGATGGACTGGGCCAGGAGGGGAGAGGGACTTCTCTTTGATAAGTTTGAATATTCTGAGAGTGAGCCCTATCTGTGTGTCAACTATTAAAAAATGTATTGTGTAGGGGGCCTCCCTGGTGGTGCAAGGGGTTAAAGTTTCAGCACTATCAAACTATTGCCAGCCACTGCAGCATGAGTTCTATCCCTTGCTAGGGAGCTGATCCACGTGGCATGACAGACCTCTCCTGTCCCGCCTGCTGCTCCCCTCAGCAGAATATTTCAGTAGATCCACCTGTTCTGCTCCCCACTATGTCTCTGGTAAATCCTCTCACCCTCCACACCTCTGGCCTGTACCCCAGTTCTTGTATATATAAATAAATAAAGTGTAGTGTAAATGTAAGAAAAGGACTGAAGGAAGGCAGCTGTTAACAGCACGTCTCTGGAGCACCCACGCAGCCTCTAGGAGGCTTAGACAAGGAGTTGACCTTTCTGAGTCTGTTTTCTCTGCTATAAAATCAGCCTACTGTTGACAGCAACAACCATAATACCTGTCTCGGAACATTGAAGTGCTTAGAACAGTGCCTGGCACATAGCTCTGTTTGCTAACTTACAAAAGGTGAGGGAGCAGGCAAGAGGAATGATGTAGTCAACTGTTAGCAAGTTGAAAAGGAGGTGGAAATGTGCAGAGTGCAATTCAACATGACAGTTGGCCTGACACTCAGCGTCAGGAGAAAGTAGGGTGTGACTGCTCCTTGAAGTCAGGGAAGCAGATAAAATTGTCCAGGGAGAATGAAGCAGGAATGAAGTTTAGCTAATGACTAAACTCTGGTGAGCCTGAACCACATTAGGGGCTAAGGAAAGTGAGGCAGAACTTGGTGCAGGAGACAGAGTGAAGGTCGCAGAAGAGTGATGTTGGCGGGAATTGCACTGGCAGGTGGGGAGAGGAGGAAAGGCTGATGGAGCTGTGTCTTGAGGACCCCTTTCACCGGGTGCTGTGAGGAGGAGGGACTGAGGTGTAGACTGTAGACAGAGGTGGGCAGTGGCAGGAAGGAGTGCACACAGGAGTGGTTCTGAAAGAGATAGTGATGCAACAGTATTTTAGGTTTGTGGGAACAAGATTTTGGATGCAGCTTAGAAGGGCTGGTAGAGATGTGGTTTGAGGCCAAGGACAGAACAGAGAAGGTGGCTTACTGTTCTTTATATGGAGAGTCAAGCAGCTGCTGCCAGCTGGGGCAAGACAGATATCAGATCCCAAGAGGCACCCCAACTCCTTGGTCTCCAAGAGGCATCGATAGCAGCGCAGGTATTTGGGTTGCTGAGCTGGATAAGGGAAGTCTTGATGGACAGATTCACCTAGAATACAGAGAAGCACTGACCCCAAGCCCTAACCCGCTGGTCAACCTTACTTCTCCCCACCACCCTACCCTCCCATCTCACAAAACCATAACATCACCAATTCTTTAAAACCAGTTGGCCGAATCTCAAAAGTTATAGTTCTTGTTAAAAATCTTCCTTCCCAGGCTCTCCCTGGTGGTGCAACAGGTTAAAGCACCACATTATGAAGCTCTCTAAAGCCACTGTAGAACAAGTTTGATCCCTGGCTGGGGAGCTGACCCACATGGTGTGGCAGACCTCTCCTGACCCGCCTGCTGCTCCCCTCAGCAATGTACTCTGTCAGTCTGCCTATTCTGCTCCCCACTTTGTGTCTGGTGAATCCTCTCACCCACCATACCTCTGGCCTGTACCCCAGTTCTGTAAGCATAGCTAAATAAATATTTTTTTAAAATCTCCCTTCCCTGCTCTTATCTACATTCCCTGAAATGAGGAACCCACCCATTCATTTACTTATTGCGTATTTGAGAGACTAACAGGTACTAAGGACCCTGCAGACCTCTACATTCGAAGGTTAGGCGGAGTCCAACTTTGAGCATCTCTGTTAGAGCCAGTCTGTCTTTGGGGTTTGATTTTATGGTTCCCCATCCCCTAGACTCCCTTTTGAATGTGCCTTCTTAGCCTGGAATTTTCAGAAGTGAAAACAAGAGTGTATCATCCTAGGACAGGAGAATTCCTTGCTTGGTCTACACAGAACATTTTAAGTAGCCCAAGGCCACATTCTTTGGTACTGCCACTGTACAGACTCATATTAAACTTCGTCCACCAAAGTGCCCCCTTCAGCTACACCTCTCTGTTCCTTTGGTCTCCACCCAGACCATTAGTGTCTGCGTCCCCAGAACCAGCACTTGGTGGGAGGCAGATGCTGAGCAAACACTTTGAAGCCTATTTCTATTTAGAAGGTGCCTTGCAGTCAAGTGAGGAGGTTATCATGTTGCATCCAGATTTGTTCTAGATTCGGGTGCTGTCATTTAGCATGTCCCCCAAACCCTCTCTGTCACCTATTGCCTTCAGTCTCTCCATTCAGATTATTGCTGTTGACAGAGACACCCTGGGGTGGTCACTAGAATTTCAGTCCATTATCAGTCCCTAGCATTATCTCACCAAGCTCACTCATTCCATGATTCCTCCTGACTAGGTTTACCTGAGCATCCTGGACAGCTGTATCCAGATTCCTGTAATCTGGGTTTCTCTATCCAGCAGGTCAGGAGACTCATCTGACCCCTCAGAACTACTTACCAGACACCAAGCTCATCATGATGAGCACCATCAAGAAGACCATGTACAGGGAGTGGGGGGTTCTGTGGAGGCCCAGGGGCCCCAGGCTCTGGCTACCTGCAGGGCCTGCCATAAAATGCATGACTGCCCACCAGCCTCCAGTTTGGGTTTATATTGCAAGAGAAGCTGGCCAAGAGGAAGGAGAAGGGCAACACCTGTTTAGGGTAGAAATCAGTGCCAGAACAACCAGAGGGACAGAGTGTCCTCACCCACAGCCACTCCTGCCTCACATCCTGGTGATAGGGTCCAGCAACAGGAAAATGAGCGGGGAACTTTTCTTCATAGACATTCAGATGATGTTTATGAATCACAACATTGCACAACCGCACAGAGCACACAGTCTAGTGTGGGAAACAGGTCAATAAGCAGTGGGGAGTGGGATGATGGGGGTGTGCAGAGTGCTTCCCAGATTGGGCAGTGGAGACTGAGCACACAATCTAGCCTGGGAAACAAGTCAATAAACCAAGGGGGGGGGTGTGGAAGGTTGCAGAGTGCTTCCCAGGAGATCTGGGCAGTGGAGACCACTGACCGAAGCCATTTATGACTAATAGTAACAGATCAGATTTCTGTTTGTTAAAGATTACTGAGGCTGGGAAACCACTTAAGAGCTGTTCCCGAGTCCAGTCACAAGATGGCGGCCTGGTCTAGCGTAAGAGAGGCAAAGCAGGTAAGAGAGAGTCTGAGATTTATTTAAGAGGACAGGTCTGATTTGAAGTTGGACTAAAAGTGGCGAGGGGGAGGGGGTTATAGGTCAGCACACAGGGGTGATTGGTGGTGCCACTGTCCGAGGGCACCTGGATGCCCGGCGCCTGTACTCATGTCAGTGTCCGGGTGCCCGGAAGGCCAGCACATTTTCCCACGCCCCATTTGTCCTGTCCGGCTTCGACTCAGCTCCAGGGCAGTGGGTCTGATCTCCGGCGCCCACAGGCTCCGGCACTGCACTTTAGCTCTTCGCGCCTGGCAGCACCTCAGAGCTTTCCCAGGAGACGCGGGGGCGGACCCCAGGCAAGCTAGCTCTCCGCCCGGATGCTGCGAAAAACCAGGCTGGCCACCCAGGCATGGGGCCCGAGCTCCCCTCGGGGCTTTCCCGGAAGGGGGCGCTGTGCCGCTGCCCTCCCTCCCGCGGGACTCGAGACGCCCCGGGCGCCGCAGCTTCCTCCGGGGGCCTGCTGGGCCCCAGTGACCGCGCCGCCGTGAGGTTCTCCCGTGGAGACACACTTAGACTTTCCATGTTAAGGTGTGAGGGCCATGAGAAGCCCGCAGCGTCCAGGAACGAGCCATCCGCCCCGGTAACCGCCCCGGTACCCGCCCTGGCCAGCGCCCCAAACCATTGGAGCATCATCCGGCCGCGGGTTCCTTTGGGGAAGCCAAGAAAGACTCGAGGAAAACGCACACCACCGCGCGCCCCTTCAAGAGTCTTGCGATGAATGAAGCAACCTTGTGTTAGAGAAAGTAAAGAGAAGTAGGAGGCTTGCCTGGCCCCCCAATAAATATGTGCTGAATCAGTGACAGACGGAAAGAATGGGGGGGCGGGGGTGTTCCTTTGAAGAGAAGAAAGCAAAGGGAGGGCAGAAGGGCCCTCTGAACCCCTCTCTCGAATGTAACCTAAAGGCCAAGGACTGAAACTGCCCCTGCGGAGGCGTACGTGAGCGCTTCCGAAGGACTTGCTGAGGGGCGGCAGCTCGGAGGGTGGCAGAAGGGAAGACGGTGGTATTCCGCGAATGGGTTGGGAGGTGGAGTCTTCTTCGCAGGGGCGTGGCTTAAATAGCATTAGTCCCGCCCCCGTTTCGTTAGCTCCTCCCCTGTCCACGCACCTGGGCGCGGCTGTGCGCTCGAAGGACCTCCAGAGTCGGTTGCCTCGGTGACAGACTCCCCGTTGGCCTTCTAGAGGCGGGCGTACAGAAGTCGTCTTGGTGACCGTAAGGAATGACGATATTCTTGCGGAGTTCCCTCTCCCGGAACAAGGAATGCCTGGGGTGAGCAGCCCAGTGGCGAAACAAAGGAGGTCGGCCTGAAGGTTAGGGGGATGAGGCGGGGCATTGGAGAGACACGGCTAGAGGTGATTGGTCCTGGAGAGCCAAGTACTATTAGGGGAATAGTTCTGGACATAGAGGTCAGGAGAGGAAATCTTTAATCTGAATAGAAATGAAACAAATGACTGAGTTGGGATGAGTAGGTAATTGGATGGGTGGGTAGATGGATGAGTGGGTAGATGAATGAGTGGGTGGGTGGGTGGATGGATGGATAACTGGGTGGGTGGATGCTGGATGGATAATTTGGATGGGTGGATGGATGAATGGATGGGTGGGTGGATGGATGGATAACTGGGTGGGTGGATGCTGGATGGATAATTTGGATGGGTGGATGGATGAATGGATGGGTGGGTGGATGGATGGATGACTGGGCTAGTGGATGTGTGGATGGATAATTGTATGAGTGGGTGCATAGAGACCTGGCTATCCCTGGTGCCTGTCTTTCCCCTTCCTCCCCCCCACCCCCCACTCCCCATTCTAGGATCCTCTACCTTCTAGGACCTCCACTCACTTGTGAAAGTTGTAGGTAAAGCACATGCTCCTCCCTGAGGCTCGGAGCAACCCCCACCCACACAACCCCACCTAACCAGCAAACCAGGGCTGAGTTCAAAACCTCACATTGGGAATGTTAACTGGAATAAATCTCAGTAACAGTGTATTAGACAATCAAAGTGAATATTTGAACCCGGGAAGTAGCCACACCAATTTTTACTCTGGGAGAACTGTTTCAACAATCAAAAGTTTAAATGTATGAGCTCTCCCTGGTGGCACAATGGGTTAAAGCACAGCACTGTGAAGTTCTTTGAAGCCACTGCAGCACAAGTTCAATCCCTGGCCAGGGATCTGACCCACATGGCATGGCAGACCTCTCCCTACCTGCCCGCTGCTCCCCTCAGCAGTGTATTTCAGTTGATCTGCCTGTTTTGTTCATCACTCTGTCTCTGGTGAGAACTCACCACACCTCTGGCCTTTACCCAGATTTGTTCTATAGGTAGGAACAATGAGTCATTGACATTAAAATGAAGTAATTCTTGACAGCCTTCTGGTTTTAAATTGTTTTGTCCCAAATATATATTGGTACTGTGTGCATAGAGAAAGACAGTGCTGGCTGTTAATCATGTCCTTTCTGAAGAATGAGCTGTGGGGTTATGAAGGCTGGGTACCCACTGCTGACATAGAATTTATCAGCAACTTGGCCACTGGTGGGAGTTGAAAAGACTAAGTGTATCCAGAGGCAGCAGAGTTTGCACAGCTGTTTTACAGACTTAAGTCTATGCAGATGGCTTTGTCACTCTTCAGCTAGAGCAGAAAAGGGTCATTCTCAGAATACTTAACGGTATGTTCACAGGAGCTATGTGGCCAAGGAGACTGGACAAGAGATGACTCAACCCTGGGCCTGGAAGAACTTCCAGGTTTCCAGTTTAGGCACTAACTCTCCATCCTCCCAGTCTTCATCCTTTCCCAGTATGTCCAGCTTCTCAAGGACACCTGGGTGTTATCCAGGCCCCATCCAATGCCCATTACAGCGAGGTTGAGAGCCCAGCACTTGAGGGGACTGCATCTTAGTTGGTCTACCCCTGAGACTGCTGGAACCCTAATCTGTAGACAGGGTGCTGGTCCCATCCTAAGAGGGGAGGGGATGTTCTGAATACAGACACAGCTGCTATGAGCCTTATCAGGGCAGTAATCTGAGGGATAGACTGAGGCCCCAGGCTGAAGTGGTCCAGAATTCACGTGCTCCTCACCTGACCCTCTTTAGGTACCTTGATGTCATGGTGTCAAGTGTTCTTTGTAGTGTGTGCAGGGAGAAGCGGGAGGGAGAGGTGGAGCTAGAGTTTGGGCAGCGTAGTCCCTAATGGCTATGGCCAGGCAGGGGGAAGCCTTTGTTCCCAGGATGTGGGAGGTGGGGCTGGGTACCCACTACACTATTGCATTTAATGAACAAAGACTCGGTTTTCAGGGGATTAACTGTCCTAATGGATCTTGGAGGGTATTTCAGAACCATACAGCTGTAAGAGCCATATCTGCTACCCTTTTTGTCCCCTGAGACAGGACAGAAGAGAGGTGCACCAGTGTCAGCTGTCCAGACTTGCTAAAGGTGGAACATCCTGGAACTGTGGGCATATTTCTGTTTTTCTCCTCCTCTTCCTCTCCCTTCTCTCCCTTCCCTCTTCCCATCTACTATTAAACCTTTTTATTGACATAACAATGGTTCACTAATTCATGATAGAGGTTTGAGGTGTATAGCCTTATATATCAACATCTGTTTACACTACATTGTGTTCACCATCAAGTCTAGTTCCACCCATCAACACATAATCGACCCCCTTTCCCTTCTGGTAACCACTGTTTCGTTCTTATAATCTACAAATTTGTTTTTGTTTTGTTTGTTGCTTCTTTATCTTCCTAATGAGTGAAATCACACAAAGTTTGTCCACCTGGCTTATCTTACTTAGCATAATTCCCTCTGGATCCATCCATATTGTTGCAAATGGCAAATATCTTTTGATAGCAGAGTAGTATTCCCTTGTGCGTGTGCACATGTGCGGGTGTACATATCTGTATCAATCACATCATCTTTTTTTAAGATTTATTTTTATTTATGCATACAAGAACTGGGGTACAGGCCAGAGGCTGGGGGGGACTGGCAAGATTCACCAGAGACAAACTGGGGAACAGAACTGGTGGATCTACTGAAATACACTGCTGAGAGACAGGAGAGGTCTGCTGTGCCACAGGGGTCAGCAACATGGCTGGGATCCAACGCAACTTACAGAGGCTATAGCTCTGAGATTCAAGCCCTACGCCACCAAGGAGGTCCCCAATCACATCATCTTTATCCACTCATCAGCTGATGGACACTTAGGTTTTTAACTCTTGGATATTATAATAGTGTTGCCATGAACATGGGATCTAGTTAGCTTTCTAAATTAGTGTCTTCATAATTTACCATAATCTTGGTAAATATCCAGAAGTGCTGTAGCTGTTTCATATGATCTATTTCCAATTTTTTGAGGCATGCTATTTTTCATGATGCCTGGACCATGAAAAAAGGGTTCCCTTTTTATTTTTTAAAATATTTATTTATGTACACTAGAACTGGGGTACAGGCCAGAGGTACAGGGGCTGAGAGGATTCACCAGAGACAGAGTGGGGAGCAGAACAGGCAGATGGACCAAAATACACTGCTGAGGGGAGCAGTGCGTGGGTCAGGAGAGGTCTGCTGTGCCATGTGGGTCAGCTCCCTGGCCGGGGATCGAACTCCTGCTGCAGTGGCTGTGGACAGCCTCACAGTGCTGCACTTTAATCCTTTGTGCCACCAGGGAGGGCCTGAGGGTTCCCTTTCTCTGCAATCTTACCAACACTTGTTTCTCATCTTGTTGAGAATTACTCATGTGTGAGGTGGGATCGCATTGTTGTTTTGTACACCTCTTGTCTTCTAACCCAAACACTAAGCATCCTATCTTGACAGATCTCAGATCACACTCTGGGAGGCCCAGCACACTCCTCCCCGCCAACGGTGGAGCCTGTGGAAGCAGCCAGCCTCTGCCCTGGGGATTGCAAAGGAGCTTCATGCACTGAGGTTGGAGGAAACACTGAAATTAGCCAGACTATACGTAGGATGTGGAACCTCAGAACATAGTCGCCCACATTCAGCATCTTGTTCAAAAGGGTGAAGCCAGGGCAATAAACCTGGGTTTGTTCCCTTGGTAAAGAAGATCCCAAGGGTAGCTGATTGCCATGCAACACACTGATGGGGTAGAAAGGGACTCCTGTTTTGTGAGGCTGACGGATGGGAAACAGGATGAAGTGACAGCTGTCCACGAAGGCGGAGGGTAGCCCTGGGAGTCCCTGGAGGCCATATGTGTGAAGAAAACATGGTGAAGAGGGTACGCAGGGTTTGCTGCATAAGATGTGGGGAACAGGCTGCCCCTCACTTTCCATGGGATTAGCAAGAGCTGAACAAAGAAAACTGGGGGTACTAATAGTGAAACCTCACAGGTTTTGCCTGAAAATGCTAGAAGAGCTGAGGAAGTGAAATCGGGTCCTAGAAAGCATTTTGTCAACAACTAAGCTCACAAATTTTATGCAAGAGGGAGCCGCTGGGCTCCTGGGGCAGTACAGGCAGGCCACGGTGGTAACAGGGCACACAAAGCTCTGGTTGGGGGTTGAGGGCCTGATGACGGCAGGGCTGGGAGAGCTAAACTAGCTGACTAGAGTTGGGGTTTCCTGAAGTTCAGCCCTTGGGGACTTCAGTTTTCCCCACCACCAAATCTGGGCTCACTGGAATCTTTGGGACTCATACAATTAGCCAGCCAGTAGAAAAAATACCTTTTTTATTAATTATTAGGAATTATCCATTCATTTAATGCAGGTATATGTCAGGGAAGGGCAGATATTTGCCAGATGGATGGGGGGAAACGTGCAAGAATAGTATGGGGGGGGATGGTCCCCCACTTTCACAAACTATAAATAACAACATGAACACAGAAAATCACAAATAAGAGGGTCCTTCCATATGTCCCCTCCCATCCCATCCTTCCAGAAGGCGGCCCAGCACAGGCCCTAGAGGTGCCAGGGCATTTGGAAGTTCTGGGTTGGAAGTGGGGTGCAATGTGTAGCCTCAAAGTTGTGCAGATGCTTCTGAGCCTAAGAAAAGAAGGTGGGGTGGCTGGGGTGCAGTGCAAAGCACAGCAGTGAGTGGCCAATGGGCACCTCCTACCCTCCACCCTCCCTGTAATAGCTAGGGCTTTCAGTGTGTGTGGGGGGCACCCCATCCCCGACATGTGCCCCAGGCCATTCAGGCACCCCTTCCTGCCTCCCACCCCTTAGCTCACCAGAAACAATGCCAGCTGCCGCCTTCCATCTGCACTCATGTCCTCCCCTGCAGAGAGCAGGCACTCAACCCTGGCCAGATATCTGTGGACCTGCCCTCTTCCCGGGCTCTTCCCAGCCCACTCCCCACCCTGGGCTTCCTTACCCACGCTCCAGGGAAAGTCAGGCCCGTGCTCTGTCTGGTAGGAGCGGAGGACAGACAGGCACCAGTCCTCCTCCACCTCCCATCGACTGTAAATCGAGGCTGGTCAGGGAGAGATGCATGACTGTGAGCAACCTGGCATTGCCGGGTCCCCCACCCAAAGGCCTCCCAGGATCCCCCTGCACCTTCCTCCAGCTGTGAGGAGGCCTTCAGCCACTGCTTCACCACTTGGAGGCCCTCCTTTGCCATCACGCGGGGATACCTGTACAGGGAGTGCAGGGCTAGAGGTCAGGACCCAGCTGCGTTCACTCGTCATCCCGAAACTTCCCATCCCCCCAGCGTTGTGTATATGTACACTGGCGCACATACACACCCCAGCTCTCACCGATGCTGCAGGAGCTTCAGTAGGAGGTCATTGCCTCGGTTGGACATGATGTCCTCAGGAACCCTGAGGTGAGAAGAATGTATGCTGGTATTTTGGAGGGATGGAGGGTCTGGATACTTGGGTTGCTGGTGGGCCAGGATGGGAGGGGCAACTTCCAAGCTATGGCAGGAATCCAGAAGGACAGGGTCCCCAAGCACTCACGTGGTGGTGATGATCTCATCCTTGGTTCTGCGGATCAGCAGCACGGGACCCTGGTACCTTCAGAGGACGTCACAGTGAGGGGGAGCACTCAGAGGGGGACAGGCTACAGCTGACCCCACCTGCACTGGCTGAACTTTAGCCCTGCTTCAGCAGGCAGAAGGCTAGCCCTTCACCCAGGGGTGTGGCATTACTAAAGAATGGGCATTATTCAAAACCTGGCCTTGCTGGGCAGTCCCTGCTGTGCCATGTGTTAACCCTTTGAGAGCCAGATCATGAGACGGTCCAGGGTCCCAGGGAACCCAGGAGAGGTGGCCCCAGCCGTTTACCAACTTACACTTCAGTCCTAATTTCAGTGTCTGAATACCTGGCAGAGTCTTACAGGGGAGAGGGGGAGGATGTACGTGCTGGACAATGCTGCCCTCACCTGCACAGCTGCTCCGCATTGTTCAGATTAAGATGCTGCCTCACAGTCCTGGTCACCAGCCCCCCTAGAGTGGGATGAAAGTGAAGGGGCAGCAGAGACCAAGCCCAGCCCAAAGATCAAACTGAGGTCCCCAGACAGGGTTGTCCTCAACTAGGGGTGACCTCCTCCCCACTCACATTAAAGGAACCATCTCCCATCAGAACAGCTCTCAGGTCCACCCACCTCTTCCCAGGAAGGGCAGGCCTAGGAGCTGTACTCACTCCAGCTGTCCGGCATGACTTTCAGGGCCAAGGGCACCAGGTCGTCAAAGGAGGCATCCAGGATCACGGCACTAATGTCTGGGTAGGACATGGCTGCCCACGTGGCTAGCAGAGGACAGGGAAGAGGCTGAGGGGCTCCTGCCTACGACCCCACCCTCATCCCCTCTAAGGCCACCCCATCCCTCCTATAAGTTAGTCCCTGTCTCTCCTGACCCCACACTTCACTTGGCCAGGACATTACAGGGAGAGGATGCGAGAGAACACGGATGTGCGTGAGGACACTACACTTCTCCAAGGTCCATGGTCACTGGGCGGAACAGTGGAGGAAGTGGGAAGTACCTGCAGACCCCCTCAGAGAACCCCCCCTATCCTTTCCTCTCAGCCTCCATCCACCCCACTGCCTGGTTGTCAGTGCATTCATTTCCCCAGCTCTCTTTGGAGAGAGCAGAGGCAGAAATGGCCTGGGGACGGGGGGGGGGAAAGGGGGAGTGGGGGGGCTGGGGGAGAGAAGCTGGTACCAGTGAAGCCACCAATGGACCAGGCATAGATGATGATGTCCTGGGGCTGGAAGCCCAGGCGGTAGATGGCGAACTGGATCACGACATCCATGGCATTGGCCTCATTCTGCGGAAACGGCACCCCCTGCAGGAGAGGGCAAAGGCAGGAGCAGGTCAGTACCAAGCTGAGTTCACCTTCCATCCACAGCAGAAAGGGCAGTGGGCAGGACTGTTCTCTCAGAAACCAGCCTCCGAGGAGATCCACCTCCCGCTCCCTCCAACTCGAGAGGAGGGGATGTTGCTCCTGTGGCGGCATCCCTGCCCTCCGCTTCCCAGTCACACTAATTCAGTGATCGCCCAAAGAGGGAGACAGCCCGTAATTCAGGAAAAAGAAGGAATTCCAGAGGGTCTCACCGTGCTTCCAGCAAAACCTGGATGATTCCAGCCCAGGACTGAATATCCAGCTGTAACACAGGAAGAAGAGTCTGGGACCTCATGGACCCCACCCCCACCCAGCCCTGGGGAAGAGACACTGGAGCTGTAAATGTCCCCTCAGAGGAGTCCCGGAGAGGGGAGGTGATGACAAGGTGCTGAGGCAGCAGAAAGAGTTGCGCGCGCGCGCACGTGTGTGTGTGTGTGTGTGTGTGTGATTGGGGGAGGGGACAAAATGAAGAACATGATAAAGTTGGGGACACAGCCCACGGGGAGGTATTTGTAAAATTAGCAAAGGAAATGGGGAGTGGAATTTTCTCCAAAAGTGAAAGTCTGCAACCTCACTCAGAGAAATTGGTCAGGCGTGGGGACATGACATTAGTGTGGGAAGGTGGGGACACTGCATCGCAAGGGGCAGAAATAAGAAGTCCGCCCAGCCTACCTTCCAGAGGTGTGGAGACACAGCCCACTTCGTAGAAGCCGGCATTTCCCTCACAGCAGATGACCTGGGGGAGAGGGCAGGAGGATGAGGAGAGGGACCCCCGTTAGGGATGATAACCCCTCTGTGCCAGAGTGCGCAGCCTGTGGGAGCTTTGCAGGGAACAGGAAAGGGCTTTCTGTTCTCTCCATGAAGAGCAGAAACTTCTCCCCATTTTTCAAGGTCCGTAAGATACAAAGCAAAGTGGATGCAGAAGCTTGGCAAACAGGGTCTTCAGAGGAAGAGGAATGTTTGGAGTTGCTCAGCCACCCAGCACAGCATCCATTTTTGCTTGGGCATCTCTAGGGGATATCTCTCAGGAATGGATCACAGATATTTTTCTGGCCCAGTTTTCGGGACTTTTTTCTGTGATTGCCTCTTTTGTGTGGTATGCCAACTGCTGTTCCTTGCTCGCTCTGGACTCTAATTGTCAGATAAAATCTAATCCCACGGTGCCCCAAACCTTAGCTGGTAAGGTGTATATGGATTCTCACAGTGCCAGGCCCTGCAGGGACTGAAACCCAGCTCCCTATACTGCTGGCTGTGTCCTTTCCAAGGAGGTGTCAATGGGCCATGGGACTGCAGCCAGGCTGCATGGGTTCTAATCCCAGCTCTCCTGCTCACTGACTGTGGAACTGATATAAACAGTACCCGGCTTATAGTTCTTGTGAGGCTTAAACACATGCCTTGCATCTACAGTGCTGAGTGGTGACCAATACATGATTACTTTTTGGTCCTTGAGCATCAACTCCTACTTCATCTCTTTCCCTATACCCAAGGCCTTGAGGGTAGAGCTGGGTGATGTCATTTCTTAGTGCTATCACCGAAGAACTGGTATCTCTAGAGCCCCCCAGCCAACCATCCCCCACCCCACCCTTGGGTCTCTTGCTCCCCCTCACCAGCTTCTGTCCTTGGGGCTCAGCTGTCCCCCGCCGGTCCACAAACATGGTGTCAATCTCATTGCCATCACAGGCCAGAAGCTTGGCCCGACGCCCGTTACACTGAGTAGGGAGAGACGACAGTTCAGTGTGAGGGGCAGGTGGCCACTTAACTGCGGGGATAAGGGACTGGGCATGGGGGCAGGGAGCCGGGAGCCTTACCTCTTCCACCAGCCGGGCCTGGCCCTGCAGCAGCACAGGCATGAGCGCCTTCTGGAGCAGGTACACAGAGCCTGGATAGAGCATCCGGCGGCCCAGGGTGTGAGCCACAAGGAAGCTGTGGGGACAAGGGCAAATGAATTTCCAACTCCAGCGGGGCCCATCCCAGCCCTAGCACTCAGAATCTGGGGCTTTGCCCTTCACCGTTTAGTTTTTCCTTTTTTCGTTCTTAAAGAAAATAATTCTTGGGGCCCTCCCTGGTGGTGCAATGGGCTAAAGCGCAGCACTATGAAGCTGCCGTAGCCACTGCAGCACAAGTTCCATTCTGGGCCAGGGAGCTGACCCACATGGCCTCTCCTGACCCACCCACCCACCTCAGCAGTGTATTTCACTCAGTCTGCCTGTTCTGCTTCCTACTTTGTCTCTGGTGAATCTTCTCATCACCCCCCTCACCCTCCCCACTGCCCCTCCCCCACACCTCTGGCATGTATCTCAGCTCTGTATGCATAAATAAATAAATCTTAAAAAAAAAGAGAAAAGATATGTACAAAGCTGGTATTTTTCAAACTTTTTTCTATAACCTTCGTAAGATGCACATTTGATGACTGATATTTTACACTGCTTACATATATATGCGTATCATATTGAAAGTTTTATGAACTAATGCTTTTTATAATTTTCAAATATGACCCTGAAAATGTATATATACGACTTATTAAGCCTCCACATAAGTGATATAAAAAAAAAAAGACGGTTGCTAATTCACTAAGGTGATTTCAAGATTCACTGAAGGGTCAGGTGTCAACGGAGACTGCAAACCCATCAGGCAGCGCCCAGCCGTCTTGCTCACCATACTTCTGCTGCCACAGTGTGCCCAGAGCCTGGCACAGCACAGGGGCTTAATAAATATCCACTGAACAAATGTACTACTAATCTATATAAAAATGCTGGAATAGGTATTTCCAAAAAAAGACAACCACTTCCAGCAAATCCAAAAGCAGGATTTGTCCCCAGAACACTATAAGGCGCCGTCCAGCACTCCCTTCAAAGCTTCCAAGTTGGCCTGCATTCTTCTCAGTTGACACACTGCCAGCAACTGACCACTCCCTCCATCCCCTCCCTTATCTGAGGACCTGTTTCCCAGCTCCTGCCCCACTCCTGGCCACAAAAAGTGCCCACAGCATCTGCTCTGCTTTAGAAGACAGTTTCGTCTAACACCAGTGCCCAGGGTGCCATTCACTTGCTCTGAGGCCCCAGGCAAGGTGGAAGCCCTTCAGCATCTGTTAGCCCACGTAACCACCGGCTGTATCAAGTGGGCTCGATGCACCAGCCAAGGCAGGGGCACGGCTGCCAGTAGCTAAATGCTGTGGCCCCTCCCTACCCCAACCTCATTCCTGCCTCGCAGTCTCATTGAAAAAGCTTCCGTGTCAGACAGAACGGCTAACATCTCAGCTTTTCACTCAGTGAGATTTGGGGCCACCCTGAGCCTCTTTTCTTCATACATATATGTGGATAAAGACAACTCTACTGCAGGTAATATAACGTGTATGGTTCCAGGCCCAATAAATGATAGCTAACTTATGTATGATGGCACCCACAGTCCCGGAGCCCTCATCCCATGCTCCCACCACCCCTGATGGCTCCACCTCCTAGTGGCTTCACACCTGGTGACTTGACAAGGCAGCTTCTTGACCCGATTGAGGAGGGTATCTGCTGTTCCACGGTGCAGGGGCTCTGGGCGGAGCAGGGCCACACCCCGGCGGGAAGGGCCTCCCCGGGACTTCTTTCTGAGGGATGGAAAGATGCAGGGGAAGTAGGTTAGGAGCAGCCAGCTAAAAGTATGAGGCCCAGAAGAGAGAGAGTGGGGTCTAGGAGTGAGGAGATGGCACCAGAAGACTGACCCTGGAGCCAGGAGGGGAAAGAGTCAGGGCAGAGGAGGGACAGACAAGAGTGAAAGAACTGGGCCTCACCGGCTGCTGGGCTCCTCCCAGTGGAAGTCAACTGGCCAGCTTCGGAAGTCAAAATTGTAGTTGGCAAGCTGCCGCTGCAGTGGACAAGAAGGAGGAGACCATGAAAAGGTGATGGACAAGGGTGGGGCCTACTATTACCCTAGACACCCTCATCATCCAGGGGACTGGCCCCCACATGCCACATGTAGACAACAGAGATCAGAGCCCTCCTGGTTGTCAGGTGTAAAGCTTACTCTTGGCAACTAGGCAAGAGAGGATGCCCCATCGGCAGCTAGAAGGCCTGTCTGCCCCTTCCAAAAAGAGGAAACTAAGACTGCTTTTCCTGGGGGGCTGGGAAGGGCAGAGGTGCTGGTGCTTCTGAGGGCAGGCTTGGAGGGCCTGTAGGCTGGTCATACTCCCCACCCGGGTCCTTCACATGATTCGCTCACTCCCTAGTGAATCAAGCACTGTCCCAAGAGTGCCTGGGAAGAAAGGACGGAAGCCATGCCCACAGCTACTCCTCTGACGGGGGACTCTCCCCCCTTATCAACCCCGGCAGCCATGGGTCACTGTGGCCACCCAGACTGTCGGTGCCTCAGGTGACCCCACTCTAAGTCTACACCTTTTCTGGGGGCAGTGGGAGCTGTGTCTTAATCTCTGCTATATTCTTCCTCCCACCCCCGGAGTTCCTGGCACTTTATTCTGAGAGTTGTTTTTAATTTTCCATCAGAGAAATTTTTTAACATTTTCAAAAATAACTTGACTAAGTGAGAGCAACAGAAAAGATACACAAAAAAATGGCAATGGCAAAACAAAATGAAGACAAGCAAGTTTCAGGCCGGCTTTGCTCGGCACCAGGCTGGAATCCACGCTCAGCCACCTTCTTGCTCTGTGACTTGGCCTGACCCTCAGATGTGTAAAGGCGGGTAATAATGCCACCTCACACAGTTGTGAGGATTAGAGAGCACGCCAGACGCCGCTCACAGCAGCGTGGAGGCGCTTTATTACAGAGCTCTGTAAATGCTGGTGTGGGGTAGCCAGAAAGATGATGACGGCAGCCATGGCTGTTTGATCCCGGAAACCCCTTTGTAACAGGAAAGAGCTTTATAGGGCCTCAAAGCCCCTTCTCAGAGATAATCACACTCCAGCACCAGCTGGGCTGGCACGACTCCAAGGACACTGTGCCCTGGCTTTTCTCCCTCCTGGCGCCACGCTGTGCTCCCGGACACAAGAGTGGACATACCTGTCCATCCTGTCCTATCCCTAAACAAAATGATTGCAGTTTTTCAGTGCACACAGCAAAAATAAACATTTATAGACCCATTTGCTGTGATAGAAAACCCCTTCTAAGAAACACTGTGGAATGTCTAATGTCTACAACTAGACAATTCTTGCAGGTGGAAGGTGGAGGTGGTGCTGATGAATGGCCCACTGGAAGCAGCAGGAGGGGGGCCTCCCTGGTGGCACAAGAGGTTAAGCCTCAGCACTATGGAGCTACCTGAAGTCAATGCAGCACGAGTTTACCCTGGAAACTCTCACCTTGTTTTCTGCAGACTGGTTCCTGTGTGTTGCCTCCAAGATGGTGATGAACTGCCGGTACTGGGGGTTAGTCCACCGGCCGATGCCTGGTGGAAAGAAACAGTGTTGGAAAACCTGGTAAGTCAGTATGACACTTCAGAGATGGGCTAGAAGGCCCTGGAAGGAGAAGCGAGAGGACAGGAATGCAGGGCCCACAATCTGCAGAAACCAGAGCTCTGGGCCACCCCCTTTCTCCACACCCAGCAACTGGCTGCTGTACACTCTGCTCCTAGACTTCTTCAGTTTGCTTCTTTATGAACTACTGACCTTCCACCCTCCAGAATGTTCATTCTCTAGAGTTCTTGCTGACACTGGGGTTCTCTCCTTTTTACCACCATCATCCCTGATGGCTCATCTATCTCCTTTCTGCACATTTGAACTCCCCTTGCACACGGCTTCCTGGCTCCATAATTACATCCTCACTGAATCTGAGACCCGTTCTCCATCCTCATTCTCTCCCTCTGTGCCTCTCAGCATTCTTCTTGACAAAGAAGAAAGGGGGTCCTTTTCCCTTCTGCTTCCTGGACACATCCTCGCCGCCTTCCAATTTCTGAGCTGCTCCTTCTCTATCACTGCTCTACCTCCCTCTGAAATGAGAGATTCCCAACTCTGAGGTCTTTTCCATTTACCCAGCCCTTCAACACTCAAATCTGCTCCCCCTCCTTGCTGAGGACTCTCAAATCCTGAATTCTTTGCTTCCTTTGACCCAGGGGGTCAGGTGCCAGGTACTGTTCTGACACAGGGAAGATAGTAGGATCCACAGCCCTCAGAGAGCTGGTGTTTTGGATGTAGGTGGGGTGGGGCTGATAACAAACAAGACATTTTCGGAGAATAGTGCTATAGAGAACTGGAATGAACTAGAATGCTATTATCATCAAGGGTAGAACCTCCAAACAATTTTGAGAATAAAGCAAGCTGCAGGATGATTTCTGTGGAGCGAATACATCTGCCAAAAATGTAAAATGCACAAGATGATGCTTTATATTGTGTATTCCAATATAAAGTATTCCATATTCCATATTCCAAACTCCAAGATGCATAACTTTTTTTAAATTTTAGAATTCTGAAGTCAGTATGCATTTTACAACTCAAAGCAGACCTGATAAAAGATCTGATGAAATGAAACGAGGTATATGTTTCATGATAGTGTAAAAATATGGATCAGAGAAAAACTATACTAGATGACAATGATTACTCCTGGGAAGTGGGGGTCACGGGGCTGGGGAAGGACTCTAATAGCAACGTCAACTCTGTAAAGTGTTGGCATGATCTTTGTATTTTGAGAATGCCTTGACCATTCTCAATGATTGAGGGTCCAACCCAAAAAGCATGGAAACAAGCATTGCCAAACATAAGCATTTCAGTTCTTCCTGATTGTGTGCAATTTAAACTTTTTTTCTAGATTAAAAACAAATAACAAAAAAAAAAAAAAAAACAAATAACATTAGGGCCCTCCATGGTGGTGCAACGGGTTAGAACGCAGCACTACAAGCCAGCTGCAGCCACTGCAGTAAGTTCAATCCCCAGCCCTGGAGGTGACCCACATGGCACAGCAGACCTCTCCTGACGTGCCCGCTGCTCCCCTCAGCAATGTACTTCATTGATTTGCCTGTTCTGCTCCCCACTGTGTCTCTGGTGAATCTTCTCACTGCCCCTGCAACTCTGGCCTGTATCCCAGTTCTGTATGCATAAATAAATAAATAAATCTTTTTTAAAAACATCAAAAATAAGACAAAACTTAATTTCAGGAAGAATGAAAGCTACTCTGAGATGAGTAGTCAGGGAAGGCTCTGAGGAGGGCTGGCTATGGAGATCAGGAGGCAGAAAAAAACAAGCATCGAGTCCTCAACCCCAAACTGGACCCAGCTGCATGCATCCAGCTCCTGACCCCAACTACTCTCTTCTTGAAGTGCCCCTCTCACCCAGTTTTTATCATGTGTGTCTGTCGGTTTGTTGAGAGATATAACATAGCTATAGAAAACATAAATTGAGGGCCTCCCTTGTGGTGCAAGGGTTCAGTCTCAGCACTATCAAGCTATCAGCAGCCACTGTAGCAAGAGTTCAATCCCCAGTCAGGGAGGTGACCCATATAGCGCAGAAGACCTCTCCTGTCTCACCCACTGCTCCCCTCAGCAGTGTATTCAATCAATCTATCTGTTCTGCTCCCCACTCTGTCTCTGGTGAATCTTCTCACTTCCCCTCCCCTCCACTCCTGGCCTAAACCCCAGCTCTTGTATGCATAAAAAAAGTAAAATAAATCTAAAGAGAAATTAAACTGAATTTAAAAAATACAAAGTAAACATTTCCTGTGATCACCCACATCAAGAGAGCAATCTTGGAGAGCACACTCCCATCTGGAGTCCTGACCAAGCTGTGCCCTCCCCTCCAGGTGGTCACTCTCCTTTCAGGATACCATGCCCATGCTTTTCCTTAGTGTTCTGTCAATTACATATACATCCTTTTATCTGAGTGGGAACATACTGCCTAATGTCTTGGTGGTCACCTGCTTCACTCAGTGATACACCAGTACAGCTCTGCTGTATCTCTTTCTGCTGTGGGTCTATATCCCCAATGTATTAATTTGTCCTATATTCGTGGCCATCAGGTGGTTTTCAGTTGAGTTATTATAAACATAAATGTGGGATTGTTGCAGGGTACGTGCATCTTTTCTAGATAACAGCAAACCTTTCTGCTAACTGTTTTTTCAGATTTATCACTCAAGTTTCTTAAGGCAAAGGTCATGTCTTAGCCATTCTCAATTATTCCCCCTCAGGGCTCAACCCAACACTATATTAACAGAAGGTACCGAATCATTTATCTCATCAATAGGTACCAAGAGATTCCTGCAGCACTTACCTCGGAGGCAGGCCACTCCAGCCAGCAGCAGTAGCAATGTCCCAGCATAGTGAGAAAATGGCACCACTTTGGACAAACTCAAGTAACCTGGAGGGAAGAGGGACTATATGAGAAGCATTCCCCACAGCTCCATACTTCCTCTTCCCAGTTTATTCCCAACCACTACCCCACACCCTCTCTTTGGAACAGCCTCGCCCTCTGAGGAAGAAGATGCCTGATGGAAGAGGGAAGCCAAGCCATCCCCACAGGTCTCCTTTCCTCTACATGGGGGTGGGTTTATCTGCCAACAACCTGCCCAATTCCTGCCCCACCATCTTTGAAGCCCCACTGACCTTTCCTGTACAAGTAGAAGAAGGCAAAGGGAGAGGAGTAATAAGAGATGGACCAGAAGACTGAAGCCTGCAGCAGAGAGACAGGGGCAAGCAATCAATACACACAAGCACACAAGCATGCATGCACGCGCACACACACACACATACACACACACTCCTGCCATTTCCAAGCCTAGGCTCTGAGCAAAGTGAATAACCTGAGGCATAATCACTTAAAGTACCTATTCTGTGCACGTCCTGCACACAGTAAGTGCTCAACAGTTGTTAAAAGGCAATGTGTCAGAGCTGGAGAAAACGAGACTAGGTTCTGTTGGCTTCCTCTCATCATCTCCGGCATAATTTAATCACACTTAAAGGCTAGTCTCTCCATTCAAGTTAATCAAACCTTTCCAATCAGCTCTGCTCAGCATAGCCCCTGGCCTGGTCCCCAAGAGATGCACAAACGTCACTACAGGAACTCTGCCAGAGAGAGCAGTTGCCTCTGCAGCCAAAGAGGTTAGTTGCCAGGGAGGACAGGTCACTGGGGACTGCAGGGCTCAGCACCTGCAGATACTCCCAAAAGTAAACACCTTCTTCTCATGCTTCAGGCTGTCCCAGAGAAAGCCAGTGCACACACCAAAGGGGAGCACCAAGCATGTGTGCGCTGTTGAGGTCTCTGTTGAGCCCAGGGCATCTCCCACCCCCAGGGACTCTGCCTCTTCCCAGGCTGGGGAGAGAAAGTTCAGGAGGGCCGCTGGGTCTGCAAGATACAGTTATCAAAGATGCCAGGGCAGACATACCAGGGCGAGGATGCTGTCGGCATGTTTCTCCAGGGCACGGGGCTGATAATACGTATCCTGCCAAAATAGACGACCACGTTAAGGACCCTGCCTATGGACAAGTCCATACCCTCCCCTTTTAGATACCCTAGTTTGTATCTTCTGGTTCTAGCCTCTTATGCTCTCTCTCCTGATGCAGCCCTAGTTCCTAAGGAAGCCTTCCTTTCCCACCCTCACTCAGAATTTGATTCAGGCCATGAGAACCAACACTGGAAGCTGTGCTTGGCAGCAAAAGTAAAAAAGCAACATTGGATGACTTTTGGCCCTTGTTCCCAACCCAGTTTCAAGTGGATTGTGGGTGTGTGTATATGGGGAAAGGGGTTAAAGACCACGGGAAGACACGAAGAAACTTTCAGGGGGAAAGAAGAGCATCAAAAGTAAGAGTGTTGATTAGGGAAGAGAATGTGGTTGGGGTTGGGCTGCCTGCAAGGGACAGTAAATAATTTGAAACCACTGATAAAAAGGAAGAGAACATGTAGGGACACCACCTGCCATCACTCCCAGCTTTCCGGAAGGCAAAGACTTTGGGTAGTTGAGGGAGTGGGATGGGGAGCAGCGGATACACGATATGTTGGAGAAGTCATTTTGAAATTCCAGGTCAAGATAAAACGGAGCCGGGGGAGGCACGGAGGAAGAACTCGAGACTTGGACAGCAGAATAACCCTGCTCCAGAATCCGCGCAGGGTCTCTTTCAGGACTTTAAGAGTCAACTAGGATCGGTTTGAACCACGACAGACTGAGGGGGTGGGGGTAGGGGGGCGGGGAAAAAACCAGGAGTGAGTGTAGGTAGGGAGAAAGCAGTGGGGAACAGCGAGAACCGAGGCGGCCAGTTCACAGGCGTGACTTTAACCCAGGAAGCACAAAGAGCGCAGACTTGGAGGACAACTGGTTGACAAGCACGCTCCCCCGATTTCCAATAATGGACGCTCCTGGGGAGCAAAGGCCGCAAAGGGGTTTGGGCCGTACCATGTTTTTGACCAGGGGAGAACTCGACTCACCCAGGAGCTGGAAGAGTGGGTAGTGACTGAAGTTGGAGTCTCAGAGACGCCAGACGGGGCCCTTTCGGAGTCCCTTTCCCGGTAGATTTTGTAGAGCCGGGGGCCTAGGACGCAGCTCAGCAGCTTCGCCATGGCCCCGGCTCGGGCCGCTGCTCTCCCAGCAGCAGGTTCCCCTGCTGGCCCCGCCCTCTCCCGGCCTCTAAGGTGTTGCGTGCCCTTGACGTCAGCACGTACCGGCTCCTCCTCGAACCTTGAGAAAGGTTTCGTGCCTCTGGACCTACGGGTACAGCGATGGTCAGAAATTAGTCGGAGGCGTTTGGGAAGAGGAGCGTTAGAACGTTTCGCCGCGTTAAATCGTATTGGCAGGCTTTAGAGTGGGTGTGCTAAGTTAGGAAAACCAGACAAGAGAAATGAAATAGATAGTGTCCAGAAATACATCTAATAAAAGAAATGCAAGGCTTTGTGCGAAAAAGTATTAAAAATTATTGCAAGATGGCGCTAGGAATTAAGTCTCAGCATTATGGAGGTATCTGCGGCCACTACAGCACGAGTTCCATACTGGGCCAGGGAGATGACCCATGTGGCGCAGCATCTGTCTCTCCGGGTGTTCACTTGAGTACTGTATTTCGGCCTGTGAATCCTCACAAATGTCCCCCCCCCACACACACACACACACACGCACACTCCCCTACTCCCGCCCTGCAAATCTGGCCTACACACACCCCCCCCAGCTCTTGTATGCATAAATAAATAATTTTTAAAATTAACTGGGACAGGCCAGAGGTGCAGGGCCCGTGAGAGAATTCACCAGAGACAGAGTGGGGAGCAGAACAGGTTAAAACACAGCACTGAGAAGCTAGCCGCAACAGACTCAGTACCAGTTAGATCTCAGGCCAGGGAGCTGAACTCACATAGCACAGCAGACTGCTCCTGCCTTGCCTACTGCTTCTCTCAGCAGTGTACATCGTCCGTCAAATAAATCTTTTTTTTTCAAGAAGATATTTATTTATGCATGCATGCAAGAACTGGGGTATAGGCCAGAGGTGCAGGGTGGGGAGTGTGGGAGGATGCACCAGCGCAGAGTGGGGAGCAGAACAGGCAGATCTATTGAAATATATTGCTGAGGGGAGCAACAGGAGGGTCAAGAGAGGTCTGCCAAGCCATGTGGGTCATCTCTGGGGTGGGAATCGAACTCATGCTGCAGTGTCTGCAGATAGCTTCCTAGTGCTGTGCTTTAACCTGTTGCATCACCAGGGAGGGCCCAATCAAATACATCTTAATATATATATAATATGTATATATATTTAACTTTAAT